ATATATATATCAGTCTGTCCTTCTGTAACTAGTTAACAGGATATTAGACGATAGTTTTCTCAACGTTGCTTGTTTACCTAATCAAAGATTTGTTTTGTTTACAGATAGCAGAGATGGATCGCAGCCTCTTCCTGACCAAAGAACAATCTACAGTGTAAGCGCAACCCTGTAACTTTTACTATCTTGGTATAAAAACTGAATAAAAAAATCCCTGTCTCAAAAATTAATTTTAAATAGCTGCAGGTATCGCGCATTCGTGTTGCTTTTCCGTTTTTGGAAGCAATCGAAAGCACTGCATCACAACGTATCGTTAGCTTTTGTATACTTGACCGATTATCTTTCCTTTTGGAGGTGAAGGAGATTGATTTTTTGCTAGTTTTCAGTTTAATCAAAATTAGATGGTTAACGAGTATATATATACATAACCGATGGAAGTTCTCGAATATAGCTGATACATGTTTATTAAAATGATCGTGAACCGATACCGGTAAAAATGAAGTACCTTGGTCCCTTTACAAGAGATTTGCAAACAACTTTAAACTCAAACCCTGTTAAAGTAAATACTTTCTGCGGTTCACTGCCCTACTAATTGAGTTGTGAAGGAGATCGACACGATTTCTGTGGACAGGCGTTGATTGAACTAATTAAGAACGACGGTGGCATTGTCATGATCTCGGCTTTTAATGTTACGCAAGGGATGCCTGGTCTCATGAGCCTTTTAACGGCACACTATAATCCTTTGAAAGTTCTTTCAATTCCACGCGCGAAGCTAGATGTGTCCCTAGCTGGTGATAACCGAAATATAGAATTTCACCAGTGCACCGTAATGCATCAGCTTTAAGTAGTAGGTCAAATATGCTCCCTAGAATACTATAAAAAAAAACAAAAGATTATCCAAGAATGATCCTCCTTTAATGAATTTTCAGCTCTTTTAAAAACCAATTGCTGTTACTACGGCAGGTATTACTGCTGTTGTGTTGCTTTCTCAACCCAACTGTGTGCGTATCATCTCCCCGTATACACTCTAATGTGCTTCTACTTTTACCAAATTGAATATATAAGTCCAGCTTTCATCTTCAGTGGGTCGAATTTATATCTAATAACCACAAATCCAATTACATGTACTTATTGTATGCTGTATTTATTTCAGACTTCAGTTGGCCGGAGAATTAAACGATCTTCAATCGATTCCGTTAGATGCTGTTTCCGCTCGCCAGGAGCGAGTTGCCCTTGAACAGAAGAAACGCCAGAACAAAACAATAAAGTACCCGACACAGTCCTTAGTACTATTCAATTACTTTTGTATTTTCCATGATCGGTAGATTCTTTTGTTAATTCAAATCAGAGCTTTAAGTCCGAGTACCTGACGCCACTCGACTAACGAAATAGCGATCCTTATGCGTCGGGTCCTTTTTACAGTCATAAACAATCCGGCATGCGTACTTCATCTGATTCTTCTTATGCATGTACAGTGCTACACAGGCGCAGTGGACTGAATCGACTGCAAGCCTGTCATTGCTTTCAACATCACTCAAGAGCACTCAGTAGTTATTCTGTTTAAACTGAAGTTTAACTTGGCAGCAGCTACTCTGTAAAGCTATAGTGCTACTCCAATTAACGCGTTTCGGTTTTTCCTGTTGCTTCAGTGTTAAAAAAAGCAATAAAAGGAATTAGAAGTCGTTGAGATGCTAAAGACATTTATGTATACAACCAATATTATTCGCCTGACCGAGATGATATGAGAAGACTGTAATATTATTATATATACAGAATACTTAGGCTTGTTTGAAGAATCTAGGTTACCTTCTGGCAACTCACGAAACACAAAAACACATGCTGACCGTAGCCTAATGGATAAAAAAAAAACTCAGGTATCCAAAGCAGAAAATTCTACGGAATCATGAACAATTTCCTACAGGAAAACGTTAATCTTCAGTAAGCAATTATCTTACGAAATGCTTGTTGCACGCGCTTATGTTCACCGTTTCTAATATAATTTCACAGTATTGCCAAGTTTGCATAGGAAACAAGAGACATCTCTGTATTGAAATCAGAAGCGAATCTCATAGCCTATACTTAATAGCACTGGAAAATTGTTTGCATCGTCAACTTAGTTTTTCACTGTAAATAGCTTACTTTCTGGCAATAACCCTCTTCAAAGGTCATGAACTGTCAGGCCTCAATTACAACGGCCTATGTATATCACTCAGTTAGCCCTAATGAGAAAAATGTGTTTTTAATAAAGTTCGAAAGCTTTCATGTCGTCTTCAAAACAGAATGCGATTAAGGCATAAGCTCGAGGAGAAAAAGCAGCTTGAGGACGCGATTGCCATGTTGGAGGAGGATGAACGCAAGAGAGTCGATTATCGGCTTCGACGAAAGGATGAGATTGCCGAAGCTCAGGCGCTTCACCAAAAAGCACTGCAGACATTGCACTATGCGCAGCAAAGAGCAGAAAACGCTATTAGTAAGGTTAGTAAACCTATCTAATACATTCTAAATTTCCATTATGGGATCTGCGTACAAATAACTCGCGTCGAGATAATCCCTTCTCTTTTATAATTAACCTTGTTATAAGGCCAATCCATGTGTGTCAGCAGTCGCGTCAGAGGTACATACTTTATTACAAATCGAAATAAGGTAAAATAAGGTTGATATTTCTGCCCTAATTAAGCTACATCTTGTATTTAAGGTAAGAGGCGTTGCTTCGGACACATTAGTTGAACCTAATATTGTTCTCCTGTGAAGGAACTTACGGGGTCTTATACGCGGATTATTAGGATAAAAAATGTTATTTTACAACAAATATACTACTTCAGTCAGTAGACGGTAAAACGAAAAAAAAAGGGGCACGTGAGGACTTTGAGTGATATTTGTGTAAATTATTTTACAGTGCAGACAGCCGCTCTCCAACTTTTGTGTCAATAGGTACGATGAGCAAAGTTTCATGGGTTGAAGTGTCCTTTTAACAGGGCCAAAGGAGAAATCTGAGTTGTGACTACATGTTTTTATCTGAAATGACAAAAGGCTACAAGCGGATGAAATGATAATGGATTTAGCAGGTTGTAAATTTAAAGGTAGTTGAACTGGCATCAACAATAACTCATTTTCAAGAATCCTTTAGAGGCTTGATTCGTACTGACAGAGCGCGTAGAAAAAAGAATACGTCCACTTCTCAACACAACCTAATATTCAAATGCTCTTCAATCATTAAGTGATGGACAAACCTCTGTAAAAAAACTGCCGAGCTTTGCTCATTAGGCACAATAGGCCATATTGAGAGGTCGTTCTAAAAGAAACGGTGAAATAAGGTTTTGGAGAGGCGCAGGGTACAGATGGTTAGGCTACAGGAAAAGGGTACGACGATTTGCTGACAGAAATTTTTCTCTTAATATTTAAAGGGTGCAGAAATTAATCTAATGCGACCATTTTTGAGCTAACCGAAGTCGCCACGTCTGTGTATAAAACCTGTAGTTCCTGCAGAACAATGAAGGATCCTATACGGTTCTCATTAGCTACTACAAAAGCTAAAAAGGTTTCAAATTCCAAACTACCTAGTGTGCTTACTATACGTATCATGGAGCGACCTCTAACTGAATTTCGATTTTATAAAAAAATTCTCAGAAAAACGTTATGGGCGCAGAAGCGTTTCTAAAAATGCACGCGAATGAATCGCGAATTAATCATAATCGTCATTTGGTGACCCAGTAAACTATTAAAAAGGAGCTTTTTAGTCAGTTTACCGTGAAAGCCTCCGCTATAATTTGACTGCTTTCGAATTGGACTCGAGATGGGTTAGTAAGTTATTTTCGTCAAATATTACTAAAACCTTATTCACATGGAGTTTTCTCTAATTTGGTAAAAAGATTATGATGTTTTTGATTACTGCCCCCTTCAATTTACTTCTTCATTTTATTACAGCTGATCGTCCGAGGCCAACAACACCTGACGACTTTGACGGGTATTATTGGAAAGCTCAAAAGTTCCAATGGATTGCGAAACATCTTAAAGGACGACAAATATATTCAGCAAGCGTATGTATCTAAGCTTTTCATCCTTGAGAATATACAAAAAGAGCACTAGTATTTTTCCGACATTCTTTTCACAATTCTTTCAAAGAGTCAGTCTTTAAACATGTCCGCTAATATAGCTCAAATACAGTCACGACGCTGTCCTTCAACGATGTGCATCCTTTTCAGATGCGTTTCGTATCCGTACTTAAATATATAAAAAATGATGGAGTGTTTTCCACACCGTACACGATAAGCATAGTATATAGTTAGGTCAATCGTTATGTTTTACAAAGTTGTTCGAAGCACATAAATTAACGTAGTATGTATGGAACGAGTTCTTTCTTTTGCATTAACACGTCCATTCCTTTCAGAAATGACTTGGTCGACGCAGTGGAGACTCTAAACGGGATAGTAAACTTGATCACAATCGATCCGGAACGATATGCGGTACCGGTCACTGCCAATGGCAACCGAGTGTACATTCTAAGAACCTTAAGGGATACAGTCTCGCAGTAAGTCGAATCCGCATTTTGACATTAATTTCTGTGTCTATTGGCAAGAGAACAATCATTGGTGACATCAGTTTGTGTGGGGTTACGCTAATGGCTCAATCGATTAAAGATCTGCATCTGATGAGTTCGGTTTCATAAATTTTACCTGTTATTGATTTTTTGTTAGGCTCGACGAGCACTCTGACACCATTATTTCTAAATTATCGCTTCTATGTGGCGACTCAGCAGCGTTTCCACCTTTCAAAGCTGCTTTAAATTTATATCGGCTTGAGGTCCAGGATGCCCTTTATGGGGTGATCAACGAAGTTTTCGAAATGGCCACCGGTGACCTAAGGCGCCGTCTTCAGCAGGCAAGCGATCTAGTTCATTCAGTCCACACATTTTCCTTTATTGTGTTGTTTAACTTTTCGTGTTTGTTTCTGCTGTTCAAATCCATCTAGGATTGCTACCAATTCTTAACAAAACGACGCTTGAATCAGTTAACTGTTTTCGCTTGAATGTAAAGCACGCAAAGCAGCATATGCAGCCTAGTAGTTAAAAGGTTTTGATTATATTCTTAATGACTGGGACGCCCAATATTGAATTTTAGGTGGGACCATTAATCAACTCGTTGAAGGCTATCGTCTGGGCTCAACGATGCATTCTCATGGAGGAAATCACTATACTTCAGAAATGCGGTCAGATGTTGGACTTGAGCGAGGGTTGGATTAAGTCGGTGATATCGGAGGTACAGAATATCGAAGTTGGCTCGAAAAATACTTCGGTAATGCCCGCTCCTAACAATAAGTACATGTATAAGCTTACTATTTATCATGTCCATTTACAACCATATATATATATGTGTATATATATATATATGGTTGTAAATGTAAACCATATGTAAAAACAGTATATATATATATATATATATATATGTATATATATATATATATACTGTTTATAATGTAACGCTTCAGTGGTAGTTCTTGCTAATCATTTAACAGGCTGAGTTCGCTCTCTCGAACCATCGTCTAGGTAAATATTATAGAACAGGTATCACGTAAAAACAAATGCGTGTCTTACTAATTACAGACAATGAGCTGGAGTCGGTCACCTATAAATCAGATGAGCGAGGGATACTGCACAACACTCGGTTCTACGCAATCACTTCGTAAAGAAAACAGCACGACTTGATATTTGGACACGAATGCTAGCTTTTCCGCCCAACGCTTACCTTATAATGCAAACTAATTAACTATACAGTATTTTATAAAAAGGAAATAGAATTAGTAGATTGACTGCTATTCGTTGTCGTCATTTCATTATTCTGGTCCACATATTTAGCTTCCTCGGGACGGATTTTGGAAGCACTTATTCATTTGCAATAACGCATCGATTAGTCCAAACATAGGTGAAGCCAGCATCCTATAGTAGTAGCGCACTTACATTTACCATGACAAAATGTTATTTTATTTCACACAAAAGAGTTATCGTAGAAAGATTCCGGTAATAATCGTGGTCTTCAATTTTCAATAGCTGACTCTGTTGAGAGCAGCATCTCAGTCGAACTTGCGAGCCTCGAAGCCGATGCGGTAGCTTACGGAGCTTCATGTACGAGCTGGAGAGCTCCGCAAACAATCCAACACGTGAATGATACACTTGCTGCGGTCGCACGGTCATGTAATATGTTGATTAAAAGGTAAGTTGTAGTTGCAGATGCATCTGGCGTTCACAAGATTGCTCTATCGCAGAGAAGCATTTTGGCCTCACTCCATTTTATAGGATACAAAGACAGAATTTATTATGAAGTGTTTGGGTTTATATTTTCATTCAATTCAGCATAAGCATACGATACGGACATTTAAATAATATCGAAAGCATTCATTTACGATCGTTGATTATTTAATACCAGCAAGCGGGGATAAAACTTTTTAAAAGCCGCGTCACCGCTTGATTCGTCCAACTTTGTGGAGTGCCAGCCTTCACCGGTCCGATGATAGTGACAAATAATGATCTATAGTGTATAACCTGTCATTTAGCGTATAATACAAAAAGATATTCCATAACACGGCGCTTCAGGGACTCCTAAGGACTACCATCCCAGGCATATATATATATAGGATAATCAATTGCAAAGCTAATGGAAAGCATGATTATTTCCATTTTGCCTTGCGGTGTCAGCTGCGAGAGAATGCAAAACGATCGGAACATCTTAACAGGGCCTGAGGGTGTCCAGATCGTCTCAGAGACGGGGCGAACACAACTTGAAATGGTGAAGTTCGAAAACAAACGAAAAAAGGAACTAATTATCAGCCTTCTAAAAAAACACGAATGTCTTCTCAAGGTTTGTTATAAAATTAAATTTTTTAATATAGTTTTTTTTTAATATAGAGAGTTTTTGATGACTTTGATTATTGAGAGAGAAAAAACATCTTTTTATTAGGAGCATGTAAAATCCCTACATAAGGATGTATCTATAATAGAATCTTTAAATTCCTTTTTCTACTTTCATTGTTCTTGTAATAAAAAAAAAGAAATGGAAATACTTGAGGCCACATCGACCTCTGCGCTGAAAGCCTACACAATGTTTAACCTGTTTTATTCGCTCCGATCCTAGTATGCTCTCGTTGATGATTAACCTAAGTGACCCATTAAATCTAGTTACTCTCAAAAGTCTCTTGACTTACTTTCTCATTATTACTGCATCCAACAGTTTGCTTTTAACACGTTTCTATCAAAAATCAGATAATCTGTAATAAATGCTAAGGTCATTCAGGAATAACTTTTTTCTCTGACTACTAATACCATTATTGTAGGACCGGGAGAGCCAGAATGACGCTCATCGACAACGGACAAGCATCCCACTACTTATACTTGAAAAGAACATCCAATGCCAAGCAGAAGCTTTTGACTGTACTGCCCAAAATGCTATTGGAAATACAGCAGCTTGACTTGTAGCGCTCTTTTGCAAAGAACATGTTTTATTCTACGAAATCAGCGAAAATCTAGGGTGTGAAGTGCTTATTCAGATTTGATATATCCTTGTACGAATAAATACTAGATGAGTCATTTGTCGGCTTGCATCTTTTAATTTTGGTGATTAAGTTGTTGTTGTTGTTGTGTCAAGTTGGTGTACCGACATCGCGCGGTTCTTTTAGATGTTTGGGACTATAAGGTGAAAATTTAGCCGCAATAACTGACTGCAACGCCTACTACTAAATAAAAGCTTTTTTCTGGCTTTGGCTCTGCATAGGTATCTGTTTGAGTCGACTATTTCGACTTCGAGCAGGTTTCGTTAAAAATTTCCGAATCTATTGAACCGAAATTAATAAATGGCCAAAAGTGGAGGTATTTCGTATTCTCATTACATACGTGGGAAAACCTTTATAAGCTACTTGCAGTTTCGTGCGAGAAAGTTAGTAATTAAACAAAACTAAAAGAAATGCTTTTTTTTCTGGGCAAGGCTGTTATTATGGCTAAAGAAGCCCATGCTTTTAGATACTACCAAGTTAGGCATATCGATAATTCTTTGTTTGTTGTAGGTCCACATGAGGTTCCGCTACGCAGTGCGAAATTTTTAAATGGTCGAGATACTGGCACATCCACGAAACGGACTTCCTTCGAAAAAAAAGACGAGGAGCAGTAACAGTGTGAGCACCTAATGTTTTTTTAATTTGCGGGTGATGGTTAGTTTTTACTTTCCTAAATATTGAATCATCCCATAGGTGAACCGTGAGATATGACGGGGGCCATCCGCCAAGGGGAACTTTCGGCATAACTAAACGGATTTACACTACTAATAGTCAGTCTCGATGTGGATTTCTGTACGCGTTATTCTTTCTGTCAGTTATTGACCACTGGATTTGTAAATGGACTTATCTGGAGTTTTCTCCAACAGATCTGTAAAACGACATAAAAGCAATATGCAATAATAACAGCCATTTGTCGACCCGAAAATCTGAACTAGCGATAGCTGCACGTTCATGGTTGCCATGGCAATGCACTCAACAAAATACCATCATTCACTTGCATCACGCCGTCCCACTGAAGCTTACAGCGATTATGCATGATTCTAGTATAGATAATTGTGAATCGGATCTATGGCCATGTTGACAACATTGTTTTGTCGGTTTATAGGAAGTTCGTCAAATTATTTGTCAAAATCGACCACAGTTAATACGTTGACTATAACCATATGTGGTATAGCCAAAAAACGCTACCCTACATTAATTTTACATATGTACACACATAGATGCAGTCATACCTAGGCGAATCATAGTCTACGGCCACTAAAGGAATTGAAAGAATAAAATTTTTTTTTTGCAAAGCTATCGTCGACGGCGTCCGGTTTTATATACGCACAAAAAGTAGTGGTCCCTATAGCCTCCAAGGTTACCATGTAATGTAATAACTCTTTCAATCGTAACTTGCTTCCAGTTTGCCTTCAAAGATGTCAGCCGCTGGATGTAGTCGAATGTAACCGGGGTACCCAGAAAGAGCGGCAAAACGGTGAGGCCTCCTACTATGACTGGCAAGCAAACGAGAACAAAGCGACGTAGACAGCAATATGATATTGCATTTCTTAGGCTATTACCCTTCTTGCACTGATGCGTGACCTTGTCATGAAAAAAAAATTCTATTACAGAAAAAGAATTAAGCACGCTCGATAGAGACATCTAAAAGTGAGTCATTAAAAAAACCGGAGATCAGGCTGTGGGGACAACATAAAAAGGAACACAAGCAGGCCATTGGTGCCGAGTGATCTACAGAAGATATTTGGAAAGGAAATGCTGCGAAAAGATTCAACGAAGAGCTCAGCAACTCAAGAGATCGTGTTAACTGCAGGCATGGAATGGCCGGACTGTGCTTATATAAGCGCAAATTCACCGCGTGCTACCATAGCAAAAGAGCGTCCTCTTCAAATATTCATAGCCAAAGAATATAATCGAGTTGATGATACAACGCGGAAAACCATACCATCCCAATTTTCGATCGAACAAGACATCCGCGCAGAAAGTGAACAAGGTTACTATTAGGGTAAGACAAGACGAGAACGATTTCGGTGCTCTCCACCTTGGTTGCTGTTCGTCTGCAAAGGAGAAGTCGAGAGTGGTAGACTTTTGTTTTACTAGAAAGGTTCTAGAAGCAGACACTGGAAGGCCACTTACTAGAAGGCCAAGCAGCTTAAAAACTGGCGCATACGATTGACCGTCAACAATGTGCTAGACGTTCGACCCAATTTCCGAAAACCTCACAAAAAAAGGGAAGCTAGACACTGGAAAAATAAAGTCGCACAATGAAATATGCCACAGAGATGGCACTTACGGACATTGCTAAGTATTTAGGGCGCATTTAGATAGGGAAATGGGGGCACTCTAGAGAGTTCAACAAACGGTGGCAGACGCAACTAAGGTAACCAGCGAACTCGCGCCAGATACATATAACCCAAGTGGGCACAAACAGAGGTTTTCCATGTCAGTCACTGAATCTACTACCCTATTTGGGAGTTCAGTTTGGTCTGCGCCAACGTTGACTGTGAAAGTAACGGGCACTACTGCGAAAAGCTCAGCGCATTGTTGTACTTTGAATAGTCCAGGTGTAGAGGACTGTTAGTACCTTGGCGGTGCTAGTCTCAGCAGAAGCGATACCTCAGAACTTCAAAGTTGACGAACCGCGGATGCTATGGCAGTACTTTACTCGTACTACAAAATCTAAAAGGCAATTATAATTGCCGAGCAAGCGAAGTAAGAAGTGATACCGCGCAATCAGGAACATCATTCTAATAACTGCTGACTCGATCGACGGGGCTGGAGAAAAACAAACGTACTATATAACGCATTTAGTGACAAGTCGCGGGATCTTCCACAGGTACTTTCATAGAATACATGAGGCATTTTTGTCGATATAGCGTACACCACAGCAGCAGAGGCAAGCCCACTTAGTGGATTAACCTTTGCTGAAACAGAAGCGATGCCGGACCACATAACGGAAGTTCGCAGAAGCGGTGAATGCTAGTCTCCGCGACTTCGCTCGAATCTTCTGGGAGACAGCCAAACAATGGCATCGAGAACATCAACTGCTTAAAAATGTACTCATTGCGAAGGAAGCACTAGAGAGAACGCTGGATCAACTGACCAGCCTGCAACAAGGGAAATAGCTATAGATCCAGGTTGTTTCGCAGGGCTTGAGATTAATGGGCATTTAATGGAAAATAAACTAAACGACAATAAACGGAACACTGCTACACAGCCGGTACTTTGGAAAAAAGTGAATAACATTTTCTTGAAACTACTGCAGACGGCAAGACGAAGAACAGGACGAGAGGTTTGACCGGGACGCGACTGATTAATTTTCAAATTTACTAGCCGTTCCTGCAAACTTTGGTTTGAGATAATATTTAAATTAGTTCCGAATCAAGGTTCAAACATACGAAGTACAAAATTTGGTGGGTGAGTCCCACAGTAGTAAACAAATACCTTAGAGGTCTGCATATTGCGTCCGTTCTTGTCATAGCTAAGAAAGGAAACTATGTTATCTATCATAAATGAGAGATGTTTTACAAATACATAGACCAGTTGTTTATCGTACGTGTGTTTTATTTCTTTGTTCAGTATGGTACGCAACACGCATAGTAGAAGAAAAGGCAAAGAAACATATAGGTGCTTCGAGAAACTAAATTGTATGGCATGTGTGACTTATCATGCCAAATGTAAAGCGAGCGTTTTTGGCAATTTGGTCAGCTAGTGTTGTAGAAATTTGAGTCAATGGAAATCGCCAATCTCCTAAGATATAAGCTACTGAATTTTGACATAATGCAGGATGAGGGGCCTGTAGATTTGAAAATTATTACAAAACAAAGATAAAGTACCCTAAGAATTGCTAAACTGTCAGTAACCGGTTTCCTACACGTCCCACAGAAGTTTCGATGCTCGTAAATAAAAGCAGGCGTATGAGATGTTATAGGTGTGTAAAGCTGTTCGCTACAAAACAGCAGCTTACTCCTGAATACCAATACTATGAGCTAACTTGCATTGGGGACTATTTATATTTTGAATTATCAAAGAAGCTTTATCACTCTCCGTCCTCTTTTCAATGGCAATGAGCAAGGAAATAAAGACAACAAAATAAAATTTCCACAAAGAACCAATTTGTTACGGGGTTAGTATACACTATTTATATTTAGTTACCCATGCATTTCCAAGTGTCCATAGTTTACAAGATTAGTTATTTTCGGTAGCTCAAACAAACCCGCATGAAATACCTAATGAATCGTTTGCCTGCATGTACAGTTATTTCCGTTTAAATTGTGACTGCTACTATTTTGTTCCAATTGTCATTGTTACTGTTGAGAGCGTAGCTTGTAGACAACTTCGTATCGTTTCGTTGAGTGAAACACACATTTTAGTAATGGATTTGGCACTGGGTCGCAGTGAATTTCAATCTCACAAGACCGCTTACTCAAGAAGATCTACTTTCATCCACTAATAATCAATCAGTATACTTCAAAATTAATATACAAAGAATTCATATTGTTGAACAAAAAAAATTTGAAAAACGATTTTCTCCACCCATGAAGCCAACCCATAAGCTTTGACGAGCTCACACACGTATAGGGATTCGACGAGTTTTGTTAAACTTTTTTTTTACACGTATGAAAAATATGTCATATATTGACCCATATTCTATACAAAAACACTCGCTGAGAAGCACCGTAAGTTCATACACCGTCTTGCAACAAATGTTCTTTATCAAAACAATAAAATAGTCCCACATAAAACGCAAATATATGTGAAGGCCGAAAGTGAACACGCGTAGGTTGCATCCAATTGTGATTCTCTAAGTATACCAAATTTCACGTTGTTGGGCGATAAACAAATAAAGACCAGCCACTAAAATAGACAGATTTCTAGCTGCTTCGAATCACTGGCTAGATTTAACAACTAAACATCTACGACGGTGAATTGCTGACGTGTTCAGCATCCCATGACGAATCCTCGTGAACTTTCAACCGTTTGAAACGCTTATCTTTGGTGCGGTCCTTTAACGGTGGCTTAGCACTCTGCGATGCGGCCGAGGCTGGTTGCCCAGGCTGTTTAGGTTTTCCAGCAGTGACTTGGTTCTTCTTTCCGTTACCTACGAGCGGATGTGGCTCTACAATGCAAAGTTTAGCACAGTAAAACATTGAAACTCACACAGAAAGCAAAGCAAATTTTTGGTCTAAGAAGATACTGCTGTTCTACATACGTATGTAGTACCAATTTTCCAAGAAATTCTACTGCAACCATTATTATGCATATTATGCACCATATTATGCAACCACTACAACCGAGTTGTTGTGGCGATTTGACACGCATGTAGTATATTTGGTTTTGTACTATAAGTGTACAGGGTTGTCTTCCCTTTACTTATAAACGTCAAAGCTCATACATTGAACTCCGTGCGTGCATACCTAAGACCATCTAAGATAACCCTGTTGATTTCTTCAGTTTAACCTAAAGCAAACTTTGACCCGCGCTACCTAAACGAGAGTTGTAAGCCCGAACCCGTTGCAGTTGTTTTTTAACGTTAATTAACGCTGTTGCACCACTCCTGATACTTTTTTACAGCTATCATTGATACTCAGTGACATAGCGATTCATGATATTTACCTCCAACAGGCGCGTCTTTCAATTGCACGTCATAAGCATGAACATTTCGTCCTGAACCACCTCCAGAATCGGACAGAATTCCGGTGGAGGGTATTCCAGGACCGTCACCACCCCATCCCTCTTCGGGCTCGTCAATGTCCGGCGCAATTGGAAGATATAGTAGGGCTTTCTTGATAGCTTCACCATCTTCATCCGATGAACAGTACGCCTAAAGGGGCAAACGGTAAACAGCAGACGATTTATACTTTGTTAAAACACCGATGATAAGTGGCACAGTTGTGGCACTGAAGTTAATACAAATGTCGCTTTATTAAATTATACCTCTCGTATAGTATGTCATTGACGGGAGCTTGAGCTACCTACCCCAGGCTTTTTCGATTACGCAAATAGTAGTACCTATAAGGCTATAAGTTGAGACAGCTTCTGTTGTAAATTAGCACCGCAAGAATGTTTTATATTACGAACAACTATTCTCCTATCCCGTTCATTACCAATAATTGTCACTAGAATAATAATTTTTGCTCTTCTATAAAATCTAAAGGAAAAACAATCATAAATTTCGCACCAAAAATAATAAAATAAATTCCATAGAAATTATTTCCCTTCTCTCTTATTTGACAATCTACATTTGAGAGGTTCGACAATTGTCAGTTTTACGTTTCATTTCGTATCGATTCCACAATTATAAAGAACAACGTCTACAAACAGGACCCTTACCGCAACTGGTTCCTCCGTTTCTACGTCAACTTCCACCTCCTCGTCTCGGCTTTCTTCTTCCATCTGTACAGACTTATCTTCATCTTCGAGATCGAACTCACTTTCACGTTCTTCGTATTCGACGTTCTCGTCCAATTCTTTGAAATCAGGCGCGAATGCAGACCAGTTTTCAACCTGTGCTTGAGCCCAGATGGACACGACACCCGACGAAATGGAGGCGATTATCGGTCGCACTGGATGCCACTATGGTCAAATTGGTATAATGGTTATCATACGATTTTAATCTAGCGTCACAGACTTCGACCAATATTACCTAGGATAACCGAATTATGTGTACATATGTGTGCTCTGAGCAAAATCGACAAATGGCATACACCTTCCATCGCCAGCCTGCCTAAGTTCTTAAAATAGTTGACTTTTTCACAAGTAATTAAAAACGCCGAAGTAAGGTAATACACGTCAGGGACCTCAAATACACAGGTACAAAGATCACTAGCGGCGGGATGCAGACGGGACAGGAAGTTAAAAAGTGTCAAACAGGCGACACGACAACATTCATTTTTTAGCAACATTCTTCTGACAGAGTTTTAATCAAATTAGCATACTTACAACTACATCGAATAGCGTTTCTCCTTTTGTGCCATGTAGGATTTTCACAAGGTTTCCGACACTTCTTTCCCAGACGTAAAGCGCATGCTGGCGTGCAGATCCAGCACAAATAAATTCGCCATCTCCGGAAAAACAGCATTTCTTCCACGTCGTCCTTGAAAATTTCAATAACAAAACCAAAATCAACATTGAAGTCTAACGCTATTGCGAAACTAATATACGTGTATTATGCTTATAACCAGGTGTATATGACACATATAAAACTGCTAATTGGATAGCGTCATCTTCAAGTTTGCTCTCGATCAATTCTCATCTCATTGAAACAGTTTTTGGCATACAAGTGTCCTAACAGGAACCGTTAAGTGTTGAAATGCGGAATTGTAGCCTACAAAAAGTAGCTAAAACATATATTTTTTAATAAAGCTAAATCATAAGATGTAAACGGTCTGTGTTTATTTATTAAAGAGTATTAAATATTTTCTGGGCAAGCAAACTTCACGGATTTTCTTGAAATCTAAAGAGTATTTAAAAGCAGAATAATAGAAGATAGAAAGCCTAATGTAAAACAAATTGTAAAAGTACCAACTTGTTGACAAGATCCTGAAGCTTTTGTGTGGGTTCGACGTCTACGTCTTCTCCAGCTCGTTCGACAACTTTCCGACTATCGTAAACACGGATAACCCTATCAGCTGTATTGCATAGAAAGTGGTCACCTCTACGTGAGAACTCGATGGATTTGATCGCGGTTGCGCTCTGAGATCCTGTTGTCACCCGAAACGAGACAACAACCTCAAGGTCTGATACCCGTACAACGACAACCTTGCCTTTAGCATTGCCTTATAAACCCCAAACAACCAAAAGGTCACAGCAAGCAAAATTTTAGTAAATCTTCTTCTTAATGATTAAGTCGACGGATATTCTTTGATAGCGCTTCATGGTAAGCTAACAAAAGCTGTATTTTTACCGATCTCAAAATCAATTAGCAAAGAATGAAGAAGAATCTCTTACCAGTGAAGATATGTTCGCCTTGACGATCGAATGATGCAACTATGTTAAGGTCTGTATCGTCGTCCAACGGCACAAGCCGATGCTCCCTCGTTGAGCAATCAACTAATACGGCCGCATACTTCAGCGGACATACGAGAAACAGCCGTTCATTCCGAGGGTGGAACTGAACCTAGAAAGTAAACAGATAGCATAAACATAATGGACATATATTGATAATTATATCATAATAACGAACACTGCATAATACATGCCAGCACTGTACACGCTTACATGTCAAGCGTGACATGTGTATTGCACTCAACGTCACCTGTGAGCACTGCTTGTTCCGTTACTCTGAAAACCACTCATCCGTTTAGTGTTAATTCTAGCGCTAATTAACCCTAACCTAGTGTTTATATATCTAGTGCTACATCTCGTATCAGTTCTGAGGTTCGTTCCTAACTAGAGTAAAACATACAATAACAGTTGAACATCTATCATTACATACCTTAAGTACAGGCGACGGAAATGTATATTTCTGAAGACAATCACCGGTTAGAACTTGCCACACGCAGACGGTATTATCTGTGGAAGCAGACACGAGCTTCCGTCCGTCCCGGGTGAAACTGCAATGCCAATAAAGAGACAGTCTATTAACTATTGGCGCTTAAATGCTTTAATACCAATTTGCCGCCACAGTTATTATAAACTTGGCATAATTTCCTAGCTATTCAAAGTGTGCCACATTCTAAAAAACCATACGTCCACTTTTCAAGAAATCCTTTCTTTAACGTTGTTAGTACCCAGCGCAATCGTAGGGAAAATTTCCCTTGTACGAAGGTGTAGTATGCTTCATAAATTAATTCCAGTTAATTTGTAGGTCAGATAGGTTTCTGCATACATAGAGCAAATTTAGTTCAACTATAACATGTCATTCTTAGTTGAATGGCAATTTTTGTTAATAGTTACTATACCTCAACGAGCAGACAGGATGAATATGTGCTGTAATAATTTTTGCTATACCCCGAGTCAGGAAATCCCAAAGCACAATACGACCATCATTACAACCGACAGCTAAAAGTGTGCCATATCGGTTGAAGGTACAAGTGATTGCCAGCGAAATACAATCTAGAGTTCCATCAAATTCCTCTGGATAATTTTGTCCAAACGATTCTGCAAAGAAAGCATGGAACACGCCAAAGGAAGAGAAAACGTTAGAAAAAGTAACGTCATAGTTTCAAGCGGACAAGTAAAACTCAGTTTAATACTATTTGGAGTTTGTTCATAAATTTAATGGCTGGAAAGTAAAAAGGATTAGGTAATAAGATTTTTAAAAAAAAACGTTTAAACGAATCCAGTCTAATTGTTCATACAAACGTGTTTTGTGTCCATGCTGCGAAGTGAAAGTGTTAAAGCTAAGTTACTTATACAGTGGATATCGATAAGCAATCAATAAACAAATCACCAGTCTCAAGAGGGAATTCGCAATATGTCAAAGTCAAAAAGTCGGATTTAGATCACGAGGCCCAGGTTCAAAATGGGTAAAAAGTTAAACAATAAACGTTTTTGATATGAAAATTTCGAATGTAAGTGTCGAACTTAAGTCTTCGAAAATTCTAATATAGATTTCGGTTCAGGTATCTATTACCGGACCATGACTAACTTCTAGACTGGACTCACCTAATAAATCTAAATTCATTGTAGATAATAGAATGTGAACGGAGCTTTAACTTCAATTAAAATCGCTTACTTCACCGGTTTCAATAGGGGGAACCAAGTCCCATTTTGTTTTCATTTGTGTTTGCTTTGATAAGCAGACGATCTACGTGTAAATAACTAAAAAATTTAGTTTGTAAATTCTATTCGGATAAAAACCTGTTTATCAAATACTAATAATAATAGGGCGCATAATATTTCATATAAGACTCAATTAAGGTTTTTTTTTATTGTACTCTAAATTTAAATTATCTTTATAGATCAGCGATCTCCATCTTTTTTAGTCTTTTGTAGGGCAACTTAGTAATATCCAACGGATAAAATACAACCCCATTGTCGGATTAACAAACAGACGTCTTTTCTCTGGGCCACGTGGTAAGCCAAAACTACTGCGGTTCGGAGTTTTCTTCATCCGCGTGTGTCGAAGGGTGTTTTTTACCGTTCAAAGCAGTGGTGTATATGTAAGATAAAGGTTATCGTATAACTTGTTTGGGCATTTGATAGAGTAGTGATAATATCTACCCGACGCCATGGCGTCGTACAACTTCAAAAAGATTGAAGTCGTGCCTACAGCGAAAGATTTCGTGGACATCGTACTGTCGAAGACCCAACGCAAAACTCCAACAGTCATCCACAAACAATACAAGATCACCCGAATTCGAAGCTTTTACATGCGTAAAGTAAAGTTCACGCAGCAGAACTTCCATGACAAGCTGAGCAAAATAGTAATGGATTTCCCGAAACTCGAGGAAATTCATCCTTTCTATGCGGATCTGATGAACGTGTTATATGATCGCGACCACTACAAGCTATCGCTTGGACAAACCAACCAGGCGTTACATCTGATTGACAATGTGGCGCGGGACTATGTCCGGCTCCTCAAATATGCCGATTCGTTATACAGATGCAAACAGCTGAAGAGGGCAGCATTGGGTCGGATGGCGACTATCATGAAACGCCAAGCGCAATCCCTCCAATATTTGGAACAGGTTCGCCAACATTTGTCTCGTCTACCCTCCATTGACCCAAACACACGTACGCTGCTTCTTTGCGGCTATCCGAATGTAGGAAAGTCGTCGTTTATCAACTGTATCACTCGAGCCGATGTTGAAGTACAGCCATATGCTTTCACGACGAAGTCGTTGTACGTTGGTCACACCGACTACGAATATATGAAGTGGCAAGTAATCGATACCCCTGGGATTCTCGACCACCCCTTAGAGGAACGGAATACAATTGAAATGCAAGCAGTTACCGCGTTAGCTCACTTGCGAGCTTGTGTAATATTCATCCTCGATCCGTCGGAGCAGTGCGGACATGTTTTTGAGAGCCAAATTTCGCTGCTTCGTAGTCTAAAGCCACTGTTCTCAAACAAGCCTCTTCTAGTAGTTTGTAACAAAATCGATGTTCTCCCACCCGCACAGTTCGATGACGAAAAGAAAAAACTGTTGGACGAGATTCAAAACGAGGATAAACTGAACATAATGTACATGAGTACCGCAACTCAGGAGGGTGTGTTCGACGTGCGTAACACTGCATGCTCTCAACTATTGGCCACAAGGTAAGTTTTTATGCGCGAGTCAAGCAAGTGTTGTACTCATGTAACTGTTTTAGTAGAGCTTGATTAATCGTGATTAGAAATTTCTACAGCGCCCTAAATTTATTGTTCTCATGGATTTAATTTATCCTTATCTTGTTATCTACTACGGTAAAGGAATCAGTTCTAAAAACCTTACGGACTTAGACGACCTAGCTGTTTGTTGCCCGAAATATACGGCATTACAGTGTCGTACCATACAAATCTCAGATGTATCATTTTGCCTTTTCACAGCACGGGATGTCTGACTTTACCGTTAGCACAGTTAAGGATATGACCATTACTGTAAACAAATGTGATTTTATCGCTAATAAAGAAAAAAAATTCTTCAGTTTGAAAGTTCGCTAAATATATCGGATACACCATTTGTTAATAGCAGCCATTTGCGAATAAGTTCGCCGAGCATGAACCATGAAGGGGTTGACATGGAAAATTAAGCAATTGAGAAAACCGACGAAGTATCGCTTTTGGTCATGTTCTGAAACAGGGTCGAGGCAAAGTTAAAGGGACGGAAAGTCGAAGCTATTCTGAATCGACTAATCGTAGCGATGCCGGAAACTCGAGATTCTAAGGAACGACCGCCTTATATTCCGCCTGGTGTAGATGCTAAGAAGGCTGCACCCCCAAAGAAGAAACGACTTGAACGGCACATCGAAGAGGAAGAGGGTGATGATTACATCCTTGATCTGAAAAAGAACTTCGACCTACCGGCAGAGTGGAAGTATGATATAGTTCCTGAGATTCTGCGCGGTCATAACGTGGCGGACTTTATCGATCCGGATATCATGAAAAAGCTCGAAGTTCTTGAGAATGAGGAGCTACTTCGAGAGGAAGCAGGGTAAGACTATTGGAATCTGTTTTTTCTCAATAAAATCTGTTTTCACTGTTTTGAAAGAACTCTCCTAACCTGTACTATATCATTTCTCGTCATAGAGGTAGGAGAAAATATTACAAGTTTAACGAACCAAATTGGCGACACATACATTAGTAAAACAAAACAGAGAACTTAATTAATCTCTATGTTCCATCTTTACGTGTTTTATCGTCGATGTTACAGGTTTTACGACATAGTCGTCTCTGATGAGGATGAGGAGACGAAACAAACTCGCGACCTTGCCCGACAAATCCGTAAACGAAGGCGAATTCTCAAAATAGAACACGAGATCGACAATAACAACCAACGTCGATCAAGGCCAATCATGAAAAAATCAGAAAGATCAGTGTCACGTCTGCGTAAAGAGCAAGAGAGTCTCGGCGTAAATCTGGACGGAGACGACAATGCAAATTATCGCTCGACGCGCAGCAAGAGCCGTGGCCCACCTGCGAAAAAGGCCCGAATGGATTCAGAGGGTCGTGTGGTTTCGGCGAAGTACACCGTACCAAGAAACAAGTTGGGTATTCGGGATCCATCACAAGCAGCCAAAGCAGAGAAGATACGCAAGAAGACACAACTATTCTTTGCTCGTCAAGCCCGCAAAGGAGAAGCCGATCGCACTATCGTCAATCTTAAACCGAAGCATCTTTTTGTTGGCAAAAGAGGCATTGGAAAAACACATCGTCGATAGTTTGTTAGTTCTGTGTCTTACTACTTGTGACATATTTATTGGCTGGAGCAGTTGTCGTTGGCGGCAGAGCCAAAGGATCGTAACCGTGAGCAGTTATTATGGGGCCACCCATACTGACGCGCAAACCTTGAATGGTGTTTGGAACTATTCGGTATACGCCTGATACCTGACATAACAAAGTAGTGAGAAGCCTAACAGCTACCATTACTAGTTGATTGACAGCCGTTTTTCGACGCTCTACCGGACCCTACAAACACTTTCTTTTTTTATGAATGATCTGGCTGTAATTAGTTACTATTACCAAAAGCGACGTTTTGCTTACGATTACTGTTTTTGACAGAGACGTACAAGGCAAGAGCACTCAATGTATAGCGCTGTCTGAGTAGAACGGCCGAGAAAGAGGACTTGATTGTCGATACCGTTATATATAAACGATATAACTGCAAACAAATGCATAGGTTTGCTTACATTAAAAATAACACTATTTTTATTGTGGACATAAGTAACAGGGATGTAGCCATAATCACAAATCAAACATTTCGTGACTGATGAATTCTTCGATTTCGATTGATCCCAGCTTCGTCATGATAGGCAATTATTTTGGTTGAGATAGTAAGTACAATAAATTGCATAACATATAAACAAAATCAATAGTTGTGTTTCATGTATCATGTTTAATTGTTTCTCCCGAAAAAGCTCGTAATAATTTTCATGTCAGTTTAATTCTTTCTCCCGAAAAAGCTCATAATACTTTTCATGCCAGTTTTGTCACAGGACGCTAGCTTTTTCTGGGCTGCAGTCAGTTTGGGGGTAGCTTTCGTCTCGTTGATAACACTGGTTTGTTTCATATAGTCCTCCGCCGGTTCCTGAAATCAGAAGTTAATATGCGTTAAATACGTCAAATAAGCTTTGGCTTTGACAGCCGGGAAGTTTTGTCAGTTTGGGAAAACCAGCTTACATTTTCATGATACAAAAAATCCGCCACTTAAACATACTGCCATGGCTCTTCGACCCAGTATGGCCCAAATTAACAGAATAAAATAGCATGGTTTCCATGCTAAAAAAAATCGACCAATAAAAGAGAAAAAAAAATAGCATAAGCGAAAGCACTTACCTGGTCGATTTTTTTACGTTTCGGGTTTGGACTGGTATGGTCACTTGCGTCAATGTCTCGCTCTTTAAGGCTCCGTTTCCGATCAATTCCTAGCCGTTTTTCCAGTAAATCGCCAAGGGCATCTGCAATGTATTCCCTCACAATTTCCACAGTCGAGCATATGTAGTCTGTAAAAGCAGCAAAGCATTGCCTATACAGGTAGAGTATAATTACAGTGGCTACACCTGTAGTGAAACGCAGTATACATGGTAGTCATACAAGTCATGCTTTCTTGTGTACTGCACGGCGCCTTGAATCACGAAGTACTACTATCTCTATCTTTCCAACTAGAGATTGCTGATCCAGAACCCGTACAATCTCAAGACGAAATTTTAAAAAAAACCCAAAAATTGTTACATCAACCTCCTTCGATAATTAAACTCTGATACACTTACGTGACTAGCACGTTCGAACTGACTTGACGCATACTTATGCTTGAAAACTCTGTCGTGCTGTTATTTTCTATTATGGAACAGATGGCAAACATGTAGTTACCTTCGTATGATCTGATATCGTTTTCATCCTTTTCTTTTTTGAGTAACTTGCTTCTTGCTACGGCCCCACAAGGAATTTCCTTATCTTGAAGCACCTTTGCTAGACGCTGTACCTTTGCTTCAAGCCATTTCAGCACCCGTTCCTCGTTATATTTTGCAAGCTGGCGCCCACAGACCTCTGTCGAAAAACAAATAAACAATTAATGGACATTTACTGATATATACATTTAATAGAAAACATGAACCCAATTTGTTTTATTTTTTACCCTCTTATTCCTAATTCATCTTAGATTACTACATTACTATATAATAATAACCTTATTATAATTATGTAGTAATATTAATATAATTTACAAATTTATATTGCTATGACAAACATTTGACTAACGCTTGTCGTTGAAACAAACCTTTTGTGTCGGCAATAGCATCGAGTTTTAACCCGTCTACAATCTGGATCATATCGCCCTCGAAATAGTCAGAAATCTCCACGAATTTGTTTACTTTGCGAAGTTTGTCAAGAACAAGAAATCTAAAATAAAATTATGGAGAAACATGTTGTAGCACTGACAAGTACATTTCCATATCTATACAAAAGTTTATTCGTAGGGTTTCAAATGACGGCTAGTTTTAACGTTTGAAAAGTTTTTGTGACATGCACACGACGTACTTATTGCGTAAATATCTTAAAAGTAGGTGTTTAATGCACATTTTAGCGTTTATCCTAAAATACATTACGGAATAATCGTAGAAAGGATCGCACTAAACGGCCAGCATGTCAAGGTCCATATACTAAAACTCACCGAGCATCGAAGGGTGTTGCCGTAATTAGCCGACCATCCTTTTCCACAGACTGATCAATGAGAAAGCTGCAGAAGCCCTCAGTTGTCGAATGAAACACTAATTCAAATAGACGTGCTGGCTTGTTTTTCACGAGGGCGAACAGCGATGGAGACCCCGTCCGGGGATGGCCACAACGAATCAGTTGCACACCGCCACTAGATAACGCGTCCACTAAAAGATCTGTAGAGGTAAAATTATATAAAATCTCGCTACATTTGATTAATCATTTTCTTTATATTATGATTGACTGAAAAGGATACTGTGCCAAACAAAGGAAGTTGACGTTGACTTAAAGAAAACCTGAAAAATGGCTGCTAGAAATCAATGAAAAGAGGCGAACGGCATGAAAGCAACTAGTATCTAACCTAGCGACATGGGTATCTATCTATGATATGATACCTGTGTTGTCTTTAAGCTAAAGACCCAGGTTCCTTGCACAATCATCATGGTGTCCTTTTGACCCTTGTTTTACCTAGGGTATGAACGGTTTTCGACTTAAGATACACAGTTATACATTTAACAAGGGTCAATTTAAGTGTTTTCCAGACAGAAAGGAGCACTATCATGATCGCATTCTTGTAAATACACCGTTATACTTATCTGCTCGCGTATCTTCCGGGTAATTTTGTAATAGACATGTTGTTTCTAAAATTCTGTATAAAGATTGAATAAACTCTAAGTGAATACAGGATAGAATGTGGTATATTAGGGCCTGCATAGATTTTTTACAACAAACAACATTGCAGTTGAATAAATGTAATAAATTGCCCTTTAGTCGTGCATGTGAACTGTCATTTACCGCAATGAACATAACAGAACTGATTTACCACCTACCAGGAAAAAGAGCTAATCTTTGAGGGTCCAACTCTTGCTTAATCCAGCTTTCAGTTGTCGCAACTTTTTTGTTTTCTGAACCTGTAGTAGTATCGGCTTCCTTCTTAATATCATCTTGTTTCGCCTTTGCGCTGGTCCGACTTGCTCTCAGTTTATACGGCATTTTTTTATAATGTTTGAGTTTCTATTCAGCCCAATACACTGCTTGTAGTCGACTATTCCTTAATGAATTTCACCGTAAACCAATGGTTGCACTTTAGTGCAACAAGTGACTAAATCAACACATCAAAACCTTTCAAAAAACTATTAGATAACGGAGAAAAAATAGCTTGGAATATGTGGCTCACCAGTTCGAGGGAGCCAAAAAGATTTATTTATAAATCAAGAGTAGATTCACCACGGTCAGATGGTTTTCGCGCTCTCTTATATTTCTGTATTATGTTTTCGCCCACATTCGGAAGCACAACATTATTTGGCGCGCATTTTTCAATTTGACAGATGAACAGATTACGAGCGAGAGCACAGCTACGTCCTATAGCCCACAGACAAGCGTGAACTCATCACCACCGAACTATCACTTGCGTATATTGGTTGCTACCAGTCCACTTTAAGTCAGTAATGTTTGAAATTTAACACGCTTTTCCTAGTTTTCTGCTTTTATGGGAGTATTTTTCTATTCATGTAGTGTTTAGATTAGTCTTCTGCTAAATCCAAGTGGATGATCCGCAAGACATGAATGATTCGACAACACGAATGCGAGCCACTAAGGTTACCCCCGTCAGATCCAAGATGGCCGCCTCCATCTGTCTGCATTTGCTGCAGTTAGTACTGCTGCGAAGAGAGGGGACATTGTCGGAAGCCTGTTAGTCAAATTGCCCCTAAGCGCATATTGCTAAGGGCGCTGCTGTTGTTGCTTCTGTCGCTGATGTCAAAGAACTTTGCTTGCCACTTTTCCTCTTGCTGTTCTAATTTGGGGTAATGTTACACAGTGTCATTTTACTTATCGTCTGCCATCGTCGGCGGATAATTCACACGGCGTTGAATTCCTCTGTTGTCCTTCTGTTTGCTATTTATTGCTAGCCGTTTGTAAGCGTTCCTGGTTGAAGTAGAATGCGAGACGAAACAAGCTTTTTCATCGTGTTCATCTTAGCATTAAAACTGCCAATAATAGTGTGTGAGTAAAGCTGAAGTCCGCAGCCTTCGAGTCTGTGTCCAAAAGGGCCATTGCTAACTGTCAACGAACGTGTCTTAACTAAATCGGGAAATACCGTAACACACCGAAGATAATTTGCCCCCAATCGAATTTAAGTTAACTTCGGCCAGCAAACATGGACAGCGACCGGCAAAGAAAGCTGAGTGGTGAGTGTTCAACGTTTAAGTTTCACTAAATTCATGCCGTGATATGGACATCTTCACAATACGTACGACGTATGCGATCTTCGAACACGATATCAAGATAATCAAAGTTCGCAACGTCTTGAATCAATCAGTCATGAATCAGTGGTAAACAATGCCGAGTAGGAGTCGGTTCTGATCCACTGATCGGTTCTGCTGTCCAGCTGTCAATATAAACAGTTTAAAACTGTTTATATTAAACATTATTCAACTGTTCGATTAGCAACTACGAGAATATAAATGTTTAGCAGCCGTGTCAGTTACTTGAATAATTTGTTTGCCAATCAACATGTTCGGGGAACTCTTGAAGTTTGCTTGCAGTAATAGTGTGCTTCTTTAAAACAATCTTAACCAGATGATAATGATTACACGAAGTTAATAGGATAATATGATATTTTTCTCTATATTACATAATATAATATTACGATAATTATAATAGCGATAATTACAATGTTACATATTTGCCCTTTGCTCTGTAGAGCTCTATATGTGAGGTCAAATCAATGAGTTGATCGTTTTTGATACGATTGTCCTTGCGATTCTTATCAATCACTTAGATTGTTATATTGGGATCTGTCCTGGTCCGACGTTTTTTCTAATTATATCTAGTTGTAACCTTTGTGTACAATCCTTCATTCTATCTTTCGACTGTTTTATGTTTTCATGTATTATTATTATATCTTTATTACTAGCTAAAAACAAGAATCATTCGTACGATAGTGTAGTATTTAAATATAGATAAATCTTAGATGTAGATGTATTCAAAAAAGGCCATATATAGCTTATATATTTATATACATTTATTTATATATAAAATAATAATGATTGAACAGAAAAATCTTCAATGTACTTTTCTCCATAGGTTACAATGTCGTAAACCGATAAATCTCTGTCGAATCGACAGCTTATGTTGTCATATGCGCTTGGTGCGAATAAGTTCAATATATTCAAATAATAATACTAGAAGTAAAATTAAATCGAGCAGCTGATAAAATGACGTTTCATCCTGTCTAGATATTCTTTAAAAGATATTTGCGCCTGTGCATGTGTTGCTGGGCTAGTCATCCCTGTAACGGAAGATGTTAACTATTGCCTTTGCTTGCGACGCTACCATAGCCGGTTTGACTCATAGTCTCGGCACAAACAATATGCCCCTTTAGAAAATATGGAGCTTTTATTACAAGTGTTGGTGTCATTGTATAAAATCCATTCCAAAATCGTCACACAAATGATCTAAGTAACTATATAGCTGTAGCATTCCCTGTTTTATTTTCCCAGTGAAAAGCAAGAATGTCTCCTGAAATTGACAGCAAAAACATCCGCCTCGGTGAAGAGAACAGCAACGATGATTTTTGCGCAGACAAATTTTTGTATAAACCTTGTAAAATCCATTCATGCGTCTATTCTGAGATTTCATCACTCTGTTGCACTTTGAATTTTATGTTATTGCGAGCCAATTTCAGGAGCCATTGCAACCAGGTGCTTTTTAATCTGCAAAGTCGAGAACTTACAGGCGAAATGTTAGTAGATAACACGTGGTGTTGTATTATTCAAATGTTAACGCACATACGGACCTCAACATTGCCCAGCTTGCCGCTTTTGGATTATTAATCTGCTGTCTGGACTGAATAAAACCTCTGCTTTATCGGAACAATACTCCTAGCCGTCTTTAAATTTGCTCTGAGAGCTCGATCATCAGCGAGGTACGTTTCAAACCAGCTGACATATTTTTTTCATAATAATGACTGATGAAAGAGGAAAGCACATATTGATTCAAACGACTTGCCTAGAATCAACGACTGCAGCGATTTTAACTCCTTGTGACATCCGCTAGTGAAATACATTTGGAGTAGATTACGCTAAGCGGTGAATAACCATAATTTGCTTTTCTCAGTTGGTCCTTGGACTGGGCCACGTAAAGCCAATTGTGAAAAATGTATTCACTCTTTCTTGAACCGAAGCTGAAGAGAAAACTTTAATCTGTTGGAGTGGTTTGTGGTACAGTCATCAATATCTTTATATTATCGGAGTCTTACTATCTTTATTTACTTAATCAAATAAATTTAGTTTAACTCGTCGATTTTTAAAATACTACGTTAAAGAGAGAACAAGGTTATTTATATCTTGTTGTAACGAAACTTGCAGAAAAATTTTTAGTTTCTCTTCATCAGTTGAATGTGAGCGCTTTTTTTTACAATGGGAAAATGTATTTGATTATAGCTTTAATTAACTGTAGTTTTAATGTGCGGTACGCAAATGCTTGTAACGCTTTTCAAGATAGCACTACGCTTCCGGCGGAAATATATATGTCTAAATTGAACCACCAAATTTTTGGTAGGCAAGCATGGCTGCATTGGGCTTTCCAAAATGAATCCCGTAGTAATTTGGCACTCAGTTTAATTTAAACTCATTCTAATATTGGCTCACAATTGTGTAAGCTAACCTACCTTTACGTTAGAAAAATGGAACAAACTTGGATCACTCAAGAAAGAATACACAGTACTATAGGACCTACAATTGTGACATATTCTACAACTGTGCCGGCGATCATTTAAGCACGATGCATTTTTTTCAAAATTCCTGAGTACCTATAGAAGGAGCTTCAGTTTTTTTGATTTTTAAGTTAGGAACTGCTGGTATGGGACAAGAATGTACGTGACTTAAATTTTAAAGAGTTAGCTAAGAACGATGCCAAAAAAATAGTACACCGAAAATTACGTTATCAGCATATACAGCGGGTGAATACGTGCTTGGAGCGTCTGAAATTAAAATGTCTCGGTTCACGTCCATGGGTGAAGGGCTTTTAGGCAATATTTTCACGTATTGGTTACCGCTATGATCTAATCAGAAATAGATCAACTGATCAAAATTAGATCGATTCGAAGGCTAACCTAATCTTTTTTCATACTTTGCTCTTTATGTTCTTTACATGTATGCCTTCGCATTTAGGATGTCTGTAATGTGCGTACGCAAATACTGTGAACCATGACATCGTCAAAGGGTGAAAGTAAATATCCAGTGATTTGATGACAAGGTTTTTGTAATAGGTTTCCCGTAAAATCTCCAAAATAGCATTTTATTTTAGCCGAGAAAATTAATTGTCGTATGCTTACACAATTTACGTGAGTAAAGAACGTTTTTGATTTTCTCGCTTGTGCTGTCCCCTTTTGCAGCTATAAATGGGTCTTCAGTTCCGAGTACAGAGCCCGAATTTCACACTAAACTTCTTATAAATCGTAGATAGAATCAACGACAAGGCCTAGCCGCTTTCTTAAATCGTTGTTTTAAAGCCCAGTTCCAAAGCTCAAACATAAGGGAAGTCTCGGTCGAGTAGTCAAACCGTTCAACCAGATAAGGCAAAAGACCTTGAAAGCTTCAGATTGGCGTAATTTTTGAATGACTATTATCATACCGCATCTTCGCATTAATCTTTGCGACATTTTACAGAGCTCTCTGACATTTTGAAATTTTTCTTTGTTCCATCTCGGAAATACGTTCATCACGTTTACATGCATTCTGTATCTATATTTGTTGAAAACTGAAACCAATTCAATACAATACTCGATACCAGGTACAAAAATTAGAGAAATCAATAAACTGTACTACTCATTTGCATGATATCACTTCTTGACTAGCATCGTTTTTTCAATCTACGAAGTTTTCATAAAGAGTTTAACCACTTTCTTTGATTATTATTTTTATATAGATTATGATAAAAATCGTGACCTACGCAGTTTACGCAGATATTGATTACGTAAAGTAGAATTTGCATAAACTAGTAATATATTGGAAAGTACAGTGTGTCCACTAATAGAACCATCTTTGGGATTCTTGCTAAATAAGGTGGTACTTATTGCTTAATAAGTGAATATCGTGTACCTCTATTCGTCTACAGGATACCTCATTTTTCTGGAAAATTTTCAAACTCATTAACGCTAATTGGGATAAGTGTAAATTAACCGTGTGACTTATTTTGGCTACAGTTCTCCGCTAGGGTCGATCTTCTTAAGGGAGTGCAGTTCTTACAGAGTAGAAACTACTATAAAATTCTATTAGAGTAAAGGACGGCCCATGAGATAAAATAGACATAAAAAACACTACGCCTCCTGTGTTTATTTAGACATTGTCAGTAAACGGAGTTCTTGTTTCTTTATTTCTGTACTAAAATATGCCTTCTTTTATTGTATGTGATTTATGTAGATCGGTTACTATTTCAAAAGCAAATGCAACGTCCAAGTTTTGGAATTTGCTGAAAACGGTAATTTGTAGAAAACAATAAAGGTTGTATACAATGCACTCCCGTGGTTTTATATGCTTCCGTGTCATATATAAGAGATCGCTTATCAAAAGCTTAATAAGTTAATGTATCCCTCGAACGCTTCTAAGTAATATTCCGCACTATTAGTATATTTATAAAAGTGTAACTTTATAATGCATATTTTGAACGCGAAGTCAAGATTCAAACCTACAATCGAAATTCAGCGGTTTTATTCATTCGTGATAATGCATTACCTAGTTGTGCTCGTAAAAGGTGAAAGCGAGATCAATCCTTTTACAAAAACGTTGAGATATTACTGCCTCTATAATGTATAGCGGCCAACGAAGTGATACAAATATTTACTTAGCACCGCAGCGCCCATCTTTACGCATGAGGCTTTAGCATCTACAATGTGAAGTTCCTTTACTAATATTTGGTGTGTGTCTGTAATGTGGCACATCGCCCTGCGTGTATTACAGGTTCAAGCTCTGTGGGTGACTGTGATTTGGAACCGGCTCTAGAATTTGATGACTCTGAATTCAGAACGCCTGGCTCGCCGCAGGGGACCGACGAACCATCTCTTGCCACGGATAATCTTTCAATCGGAGAAACAGGTAAACATGACTTCGCAGGTTCAGAAAGTATATACCTACTGTATACACATAAGGTCATTTCACAGTTAAACCAATTTATTCAAACATGGGAAGGATACCGCACAATCTTTACCACAAAGATTCGGTTTCCAACTTCCGCGAAAAATATTTCAAATAATGTAGTTCTCTGCCTGATGCCCATTCTGCTTACGTATTTAATGTTAGGTAATTTCATCTGTTCTTACGTATCTGTGTGTGTGTTACTTGTAGGAGGTGATTTGAACATGCCGGACGAGATGGCTAGCCGTGATGAAGATTATGAAACAGCATTACAACCGGATGATGATTTCGACGATTTAGCGCAATATGGAATCGTCGAGGTAGCTGGTAGGTAATTTCTGCAGATCAGCACAATTTCAAAACAGTTACTAATTTCTTCTTAAGTACAAAGGCCATCTTACCGATAAATAAGAACATGAAAGCAAACATGCAAAAAACCTAGAGGTGGTGTATCATTGCACCAAAAAAGTCGCGATTCTTGAATCATAACTACCTGACAGTGAACTGCCTTTGTTGCATTTCGAAGTAAAATTAGCAGTAACAGCAGTATTCAATTCAGAACAAGTATCTATTTTTTTGTCCTGTGTTTTCAGGTGTTGACCTTTCGGGACGCACTGTCATAGTTGTATCTGCCTGTCGTTTACCGCCTTCCGACGTAATCAGCCATGCTAAGCTGTTGCGGTACCTCCAGCACACTTTGGATCAATTTGTCGAAACAGATTATGTCTTAGTCTACTTTCATCATGGGCTCAATTCTAAAAACAAACCGACGCTATCCTGGCTCTGGACGGCTTTCCGTACGTTTGACCGCAAGTACAAGAAGAACCTTAAAAATATGTATCTTGTACATCCAACTACGTTCATCAAGGTGATTTATCAGCTATTCAAGCCGTACATTTCGACGAAATTCGGCCGAAAGATTGTCTACGTAAACCGGCTATCCGAGCTGAAGACTCATCTCCGTCACTTTGACCAGATTCAGATTCCTGAAGCGGTCGCCGAGCATGACGCTCAAGTTAAGGAACGAGAGGGCAAGAGTTGGTTCCGTATACCGACCAGTGCATCGATGAGCTCAATTAGCGGCAGTGCTCGTGGTTACAAAGAAACACAGCAATTCGGTGTACCCCTAGAAATTTTATGCCCACGAAGTCCAAATGGTATTCCTCCTGTTCTCAAAACGTGCATTCAATACCTCACTTGCGAAACGGCGCTGGAAAGCGAGGGTTTGTTCCGGCGGTCAGCGAATGGTACGACACTTAAGGCCGTACAAAGCCTGTTCGACGAAGGCAAGATCGTTGAACTATCGCAGTTCTCGGATAGCTATCATCTAGCAGCTGCAACTTTAAAATCGTTTCTGCGGAACCTACCCGAACCTTTGCTCACGTTCTCAAACTATGGTGATGTAATTACATTCCAGGTGAGCTCTTTAAAGTACTAATGAGTTAGAATGACTCGACTCATCCCGGTTGTATTTTACACTTCATGAATTGATGGATTTATATTAGATAAAATAGTTTTCATTCCATTAAATTGACAAATATATGTAAGACTAACGCGTTGCGATGGTATCTACAGGAATAGCTTTTATTCTGTTTTGTCATATGAAGAAAAATTTATCACTTAAAAACACCTGGAAAATATATCTAAAAGAATAGTACATTTTGGTTGAATGTAATTTTTGGAATCATACAGATATGTCTTAACGAGTACGTACAAGTTTTGAAAAATCTAAGATTTTTTACAAGCGTTCTGCAAAGAAAATATGCTATTTTCTTATAGAAGAAAATATCTCGCATTCGAGATAATGTTATCATTTTTCAAAATGAATGACGTGCCTATGTCATACTCCGCTTTTCGTGTGCCGTTCTGTTCTGTTTTATGACCTTCTGAATACCAGGAGCAAGAAACCAGTAGAAAGGGGCTACGTGCACAGCAGATTCTTCAACGGCTTCCTCAAGACAATTTAAATGTCCTGCTTTTAGTATTTAACTTTTTGGCAAAGGTCGTACAACAAAGCGACTTCAACAAGATGTCGCCCTCAAATTTGGCGATCGTGTTTGGTCCCTCGCTTCTCTGGTCGGAACGAAGCGCAGCAACTTTGAATAGTATTCAGCGCATCAACCACTTCGTCGAGTTCCTTATCAAGGTCGGCGTAGCGACCTTAGTAGAAAATTTTTCTTAAATACCTCTGCAACAAACATCAGTGCTAAGTTTTTGACAATGGTATCACTTTAACATCGGCAATTATCCAATTAATCCAATATGAAACCAATGAAGAGCCAGCTGCTTCAGCGGTATTACTAACTTTTAAAGTTATGTTTCTATTTTTCGCAGGTTGAATACAAAGAAATTGATTACAATAGGATGATTCTGTATTGATGAAGTCGTAATGAAGTCGTGTTTGATATAAGCATAAGCACTACTAAAGTCCATGTGCTATTAGCTTTAGCGTAACAGACAAAACCAAGTCGAGGTTTTCAAAATAATTACAAATAATTCCTGTTGTTTTAGTCAAATATATTAGAATTATAATTAAAAACTAAATTTTCTATCCGAACTATTCTACATGAAGCAGTACAGCTTGCCGATCATATTTTTAATTCGTTTTACGTTTGTGGATGCTAGTTAGTAATATTACTGAATTGGTATCAGATTAGATCCCAAAGCTCAGATGAACCCATCAAGATGTACTTCAATAAAAGGCCTATTTATCCGCAGCATGTTAGAACAGGACAACGATGAATCCAACACGAAACAATTGCCCATTAGCTGGTGTGTTATTAAAGCACTACATTTAAAGTCGAATTCTTTTTTTTATTTGAGAAATTTTGTAGTACCTATAAAAATAAAAGTCTACCACGTCGCCTCGTAATATCCTAGTGTCTAAAATGTTATTATAACTGTTCTAATTAAATTTCTTAACCTAAATTCGTTGAAGGCATACGCTGTCTCAAAATTAAATTTGCATGAGAACATTCAGGGGCGACCTTTTCACAATGTCAGCCTATTCTCGTCGTTGTTCTGTTGGGTTACGGATGGCCGAAGGGCTGTAAGTCAAACGAAGTATGTGAGGACAAATATTTTCGACATTTTTTCTGGAACAAAGTGCTTTGTTTCAGCACTCTGTTACACTTGGTAGAGAGTAAGGATTAACCAATGCATAGCGTGTATATACGAAAACTATATATTTATATTACAAATTACATATGTACGATGTATTAACTGTTGTATTAAGTATTTATGTTACTAATACCAGTATTATTACAACTTTTACTAAAATGTGTTTAATCGAATTCTGTGAGAATTTTGACAGAATCTACACATTTATATCTATAATAAGTAAAACACAGGTAATTATATTCTATCGGATGGTTCTATTTTCCCTGCATTCGATGGTGAAAATAGCCCAGTGGTTACAACTGCCACAAATATTGTTGAATTCATTTCATCGATAATTTGAGCCAAAGTTTTTAAGCGTTCAGCGTTGATGAATTTCATTACATTCAGCACTGTACTAATCGCCGTGTATAAAGCCTCATGACAACAGGTTCCGCGAACCGCCTGCTGCGGTGAATTTTGAAAATATAAGCGAACGCGAGTTTTAAGTGGGTATCGTAAAGATATATTGAAGACAATAAGTAGATTAGTAAACACTGATTTGACAAGATCCGATTTTTATCTACTGCACTGAGTATAAAGAAGAATTATTATGGAAAGCAAAAGATCATGGTGTCCACGTACTTGACTACCAATAAGATATCATGAACACGCAACGAAAAAAAAAAAACTGTGAAAGAGAAATTCCTTGTCTAAGCAGATGTTCTGCTTTCGTACACTTTATACACATACTATATATACGAAACATGACGGCAGCAACATGTAAAAGCAGATAATACTTCTGAATGTTTAATAATTTATCATGAAAGTATAGTTTATTTAGGCTCAAAACACAGTCAACAAATCAATCGAGATTGGAAACAGAAGCATTTTTGGTGTAACTCAGAATATGTTTAATTAATATATACGCCTAAGAATGGTATGCTTGCGACGCTATTGATCTAAGCTTTAAGATATCTCTTTCTATCTCGCTCTATAATAGTTCTAATATATAAATGAAACCTACACCTAGATATAATATATATATATATATATAGACCTACAAATCCATATGAATTAATATGAAATCCGAAGTAGCAGCTATAGTGTATGATAATGGTTAGTAGGTGGCGGTTGAAACGAATGTTGCGAAAACATTCGTTCGCATTTCGCTGACAAACAATTATGACCGCAATAGGATTAATGTCGCATTAAATGCATGGAGGTAATGGTTCTATAACAGCTCTACGACGCTTACTGTGCTGTACAAGTTGTAAATAAATATATCTCTCAAACATTTTATAGACATAAATGAGAGTAAAGCAACACAGCATCAAGAAGCAGCCACGCAAAGTCTGTTGGCTGTACTTTGCTGGGATTCAAGGACGCCGCAAAAAAATGGCAAACGATGTCTCAGACTGCAAAAGCCACTATGGGCCTCTGCAGCTTGTTTTCTATATGACACTATATTCTATATAAGCGCCTATTAAGAGGGATGAGCAAGGATGGCGCTATAGGGTACATGATATTATTGACAACAATTATTAAACGAGATAAGAAAAGTATCATTTTCACTCTCTTCAACACACTTCATAATAGCGGCAATAACAGCAAACAGCAACCACAACAACCGTTTTAATGGACTCCTTATATTTGTTCGAATTCTTTTTAAACTGGACTTATCTAAACTCGTCTTCGAACTCATCAGAAAAAACTATATATATACTGTACAATTTGTGTATGTGTGCCAAAGAACTTTACTCTATTGCCTTCTATCAGTGATAAGTCGAACGAGCTTTGTGACTAAGGCATGTAATATGTACTATGTGAATATAAAAAAATAAACAGCAGTCGTGACTATCTTGTCTCACACTGACGTTGTAATTAATAAAACTACGAATCTGCGCTAAAAGGCAGAAAAAGGATGACATATTGACAGGAAAATTAGTAAGAATGCGAGACACATTCCTATGGTAATATAATAAGGCGGGTATTGAACAGCAGACGAAATAAGCTAATAAAAATGCGACTGGGCAAGCAACAGTATGATGTTCACATAGATGACAACAAAAGCGTGTTTTTATTGTCTAACATATGTTATAAATATCCTCTTATATTTCACATTGTATGAGATATTTATACTCAACACATTAAGGAAATGTTTTTTTTTTTTAATTAAGTACACAGCAAACCGTGAGTCTGTGTTGGGCAGGTAGAAACTATGGTTTGAATGAAAATAAAAGTTTTAGTTCGTCCTTACTCTGCTACCGTTAGAAAACTGGTGCATTGACTTTACTGACGTCTCGAAATTCATCGGTTATAAACAAATAAACTATAACTACAAAGGCTAACATTATCGTATGTAAGACACTAAGTTTAAATAATTAGTACTTTTTTTTGCAATTACGCAAATTCGCCAGGTCTATCGTAATTTTAAATCCGTAAATAATTACAATGCACCGTTGATATAAGCTTGCTTTCTAGATACTCAAGACGCTAGTTACTACGCTTCTTACAGTTACGATTAAGTGAGCGTCAACTTCATACACAGTTATCAAGCGTCTGTAGGCACTTCTTTGGAGAATAAAAAATGCCGAAAACGATATACAACTTCCAAATTTTGATAAATTAATCTTTCCTCCATAGAACAATAGAGACATGAAAAAAACATCTCCTGTTTACAGCAACGTTTTTTTTTTATTCATTATTTTCTGCGAATCACTGAAAAACAAACTTGCTTTCTGTACAGCTAAGATATTAATTCTCGTACATCGCTTAAGGCCGCTTTATCCAAAACCGCCTTCTTATCTTGGTTATAATTAGTATCATACTTCAAGGGAAACACCTGAACGGCGTTTTTAGCCTCCTTGATCCTTTGCCACCGACCAAGGGCGTGCTCTTGCGATACTGCTGCAATAAGCAGTCGGGAAGAAGCAGAAAAGACCAATGAGTTTACGAAACCAATGCACTGGATCCGTTGAACTTCTTCCAGGGCTGGCTTGCCTTCAGAGCCGCGTTCACTGTTAACCACCTATCACCGTGAATAGGATTAAAGAATATATCGCCAAATACGTAATCGTATTAGTAGGTAATTAACTCCTGTTAGGATTAACATATATATTCTATAAGCAATGTTGTTAGATAACCACTGCTTGCTATGAAACAGACAAAAGCTCTCTGGCAGAACTATCTTGTTAAATGAGGCCTTTGTCACTCGTGATAATAAGATCTCACTCACCATGAGTAGTGCGATGTATCCGCAACTCGATCCCGCAGCTACAAAATCACTGGATCGTACAGCGCTCAAAGCTGTAATCCATTCGCCAGGGGCTGAAACGGTAACACTTGCAACGGGCTTTTTCTTCATTATTTTCCAGAGATATACTTTCCCATCGTCATGGCCTGATACGAACGTGTCATCATTTACCATTGCACAGCAATCAGCCGATGACTGATTACCTTGGAATACGAGCTGTGACTCTTCCGGAATCTTCCACAAGCGAAGCGTTCCATCCCGTCCGCCCGATGTCAGCGCACGATCTGCACGCAGAACGCACAATAGAAAAAACGTGATTCCAGACCATGATGTAACATTGAATTTATGAAAAAGTATACTCAAACCCCTACGGTGCCATTGGTAAGTTCTTACTTCCGAGCTCACTAAGCTTTTTTAGAAAATAACATAGTAGTTGTATCGTTAATGTCATATCGTACATTGTGAGTATGTACGTTTTGCCGGAAATTCATTTCCGATACCTTTAATGAAGCTATCGACGGATGTAACGGTATCTTCATGGCCAAACAACGTTTCAACGTAAGCCATTTCATCCAGGTTCCACAACTTCACCGTACGGTCTGCAGAACAACTGAAGAGCTGATGCGTTCCGTAACGAAATGCCAAACCTTTTGTTTCACCGACAGCGCAAAATTTATACGGAACAAGAAAATATACGACAAAGTACAGTTAGTTTATAAGTCACTGATATCCAATTTTGGCAGGTTCGACTTGCTTAGATTCGAAATCTGCTTTGTCTAGTTAGCTTTCTAGTTGGCCGTCTTTTTAGCCTGCCCAGCAGTCGTCGCTCTTCTCTGTAACAAGTTAAGCTGGAAACCGGCTAACTGAAGAAACTACAAGGAGATCACAGGAATCGCCTACTTCTAGGGCGAGATAACAAAACAATGCCACCTCATGTTGTTCGAGGTTATTACCAGTTCTAAAGGTACAAATCAACTGTACGGAAATAGAGTCTACCTCGTAATTTGATAAATCATTATTATTCTTTCTTGTCTTGCGTGATAATGCTAATGGAATGCCTAGGGATCATCAAAAAGTGATTCGAGCAACGTAGAAAAACGCGGCACCCCATCTTAACCTGTGATCTTGCCACGATGCTGAGCGGTGCCAAAGGTGTGCATTTTCTCAAGCGAATCAGGATTCCAAATGGTAAGCACGTTCTTCGCACAGCCACTAGCCAGAAACCGTCCATCCGATGAAAGGGCCAGAGCAAGAACGGCGGCATCATGCGCGTTTTTAACCCGTATAGTCCGTCGTCCCTGGCAACTTTCGGTATCGACGCTCCTAGTAAAAGAGGTAAAACCGCCGACATCAAACAGACAACTGTTTCCCGTTAATATACATTATCGTTAAAAGTTTTTAAAGTAAAAAAAATGTGTTTTTACATTCAAATTTACGAACGTATCTGATCGGTTTAATTCACTTTCTATATATATTTGAAATCCAGAGATAACCATAAAGAGATGTCTACAAGGTGAAACACTGATTAAGCACTTTCAATCGTACTCACCACCGGACAAGTGTCCCATCCTTGGAGGCAGAGAACAGGACCTTTTCGTCAGGGCCTATAACAGCTCGTGTAATTGGCAAACGATGCTGATTTTTTAGACGAACTATGGCGTCCTTTTGTACAGTTTGAATTGAACGAGCTAGCGGTTTGAAGAGACGGCCCGCCTGCCCCAACAGATCCCTTTTTAGCCTGTAGTGGCACAGTACATATTATGGTTTACGTGGTAGTCTTAATTTAAAGTGTAAGTCTACTACAACCATATAATAAGGCTTCGTTTGAGGAAATTTATAATTTTAATAATTATTTTTTTACTATCATTTTTTTTTCGTGACTCCATCAGTGCTACGCCTTCAACTAAAATTGATGGTTGAGGATGCATTACGGAGATGCATTTCGTGCAAAATTAATACAGATCCAATTATAAACTGACCTATGTGCAATAAGATTGTGCTTAAGCTCCTCGTCAACGTCATTTTCTGCTTGTTTTCTTCGCTCTTCATCGAGGTACGCCTTAGCTAAACGAAGCTTTTTCTGCTCTGCCGTCTCCTCAACGTCTGCGTCGGAGTCGCTTTTTGTTGAATCGCTTGCATTACCTTCAGCTTCGCCTAACCGCAACGTACTATATGAGTCATCCTCAATCTCATCTTCATCGGAACTGATTTCCAGGTCACGTTCTGCAAGTTGCTAAGTCGATTAGTAAACAAGCTGTATCCATTTGAATTTAGTTTTTTTGTTCAAATGTTTACTTCCTATGAAAAAGCGCTTGAAATTTCTGCGTTCTATAATTTTGCCGTTAGCGGAACTACGGGTAGGCCTATATACTTCGCATAGCATGTTCGTAAATCAAGCCTTCATTCGGCTGTGCAGCGAAATAGGTCTTTAAAGGTTAGAACCTGCCATTTTTCGTGTATATGAATTTAGTCATTTTTCGTATATATAAATTTAGTCAAGTTGAGTTCCTTGAAATTCATCAAAAGTCAACACAGTTTGATCCAATAGTTCTATTCTGATCCTACCTAGCAAACAGCGTCGCTATGTAATGCCGAACAATTCTGTTTAATAATATAGATTTGGAAATTTATTCAGTGCTAAGGAAAATTTAAATCTTTCACTAAACAATATTAACACGAACAAAACATATCCCGTATTAATCAGATTGCTAATAAATTCCTTTTTAAATCGAATAATTCTGTAGAATACTCTTTAAAAATTCAACACAGTTGAAACTATGACAGAAACATCCAGTAAGTCAACCACTATATGGCAATTAACAAATGAAAGCACTCAGAATAAGCTTAATCTTATCTACAACACGTACTTGATTTTTTAACAGGCGGAGGCAAGGCAGCAAATTTTCTGCTTCTGGTACCACTCTTGCCATGTTTATCGTTCCATTTTCGGCCACGATTAGCCTTGATAAAGAACGACATGTTCGAATTTGTATAGTTCAAACAGTTGCCACAAGCTTCGGCATACTCTATCTCACTCGGACCGTATAACAAAGTGATTTACCGACCTACAGTTCAGGAGCACAAAGCACAAACGCACTACCTAGTATGATCTCCAAGGCATGCTGCGCACTGCGATACTCTACACTGGCAACAATTTAACAACAATTTAAGCCACGTGGGATTGTACTCGGTTCAGTTTACTGTGGGTATCTTGTTTTGATGCCTCTTTCCACTTTGTTTGTAAGCACGGCGGAGCGATTTTCCCACAGGTTTTAATTTATGATTTTTCTTGTGCAGCTGCCTTAGCTCTTATTACGTTACAAATGATAGCAACTATAGCTATAACAGTCGTCAAAACACTGAACGAAACCATTTCGCAAAGACCTCTACGTATTCTTTAATCAAAACACTAAAAATGTGATACCACCACGATTCGGCAAGGAGGGCAAAATGGGAGAGGGAAAGGGGTGAGCACTTCTGGTACGGAGCAGACTGTTGTTGGTTTCAAGACTGCGTGGAGTTGACGGCTTTACCTACTGAGTGTCCAGGCTGCCGGGAGTATCTCGGAAGCTGTCACCTAGATCGTTATCTTCGTGCTACTTGGAATATTATATATAGCGTTGCTAAACAAACCGAATGATACAGGTGGTATTTTTCTGCGTTCATCGGAAATGCGAAAAACAGCGCGCGGGTTTTTTAATCTTGCGTCCTTCGAATCATTTTAGCAGGCGGGCGTTGGTAGATGCAGTCAGCCAGCGCAAACTCAACCAAAGACAGAAGGGATTGTCTATCAGTGTCTTTGCCGGATAACCATCAGGTCCTAGCTGCGTTCGTAAGTGCTATAGTTGTTGTAAAAAGGACCCAAAGGCTGTTGTTGCTGCACGGAACATATATGGTCATATGGGTAGCGCAGAATTTAGGTGAATATCAAAATTGTTCTTCCAAAGCTTAGTACTGTCGCTATAACATCTATCTGTGGCAGCCCAGAAGTGATGCTGCGAATTATGACAATAGATTGATCGACTGGGGGTGTTCTCAATTGCCATTATAATAATAACTATCAACAATTAACGATGAAGCATCAGTGTCGTTTCAACTAAGCTACAGCTTAACGACAGCACTGATCGGCGATTGTCGAAATGTTGCAGTAATTACAACGATTCGAACAGTTGAAACACTAAGGCTTGCGCAATTGCGGAGTTAGTGACAGTGGCGACAGGTCAAACTTGCGCTTGCTTTCTGCATATTTTTCCAACCTAATTATTTGTGGTCGTATTTATGACACGAAGTTAGTTTTGCGAACTTACCCAGTTTATTTTTGCCCTTTCCCTGCCACCACTGTCACCAACGGTCAAAAGCGCATTGGATGGCCCATCGCTGATGCTGGCAGTTGCTTTTCGTCGCGTTTCTGACATAAAATCTATGAGACAGCGTTGACACCCCGCCTATGCTGCCGGCGTCATCGCCTGAAGAACAGCTGCAGCCTCCGACCCCTAGAGGAAATTGCTGGCGGGCAAAAGAGAACCGACGTCGCAAACGATCAGCTCAGAGAGTACAGACGGAAGCGCAGTTGTACAAACGTATAGGGCATCTCTGGGAAACAGGTTGGACGATGCCTAGAGGGGACTCTCACTGCTCACCGGAGAACGATGTTTCACCTAAGTTCAACTATCATTACAGCTTAACTGTTAATGCCGTTGCTTCTAATAACATAGCCTAACCGGCAAGTAGTTGCGTGCATATCTGCGCGCAAAACGATGTTCGCGATGTGGATTGGACAAACAAACGCACCGAAACGCTAGAAAACACATGGTTATGACCAAAACAACATACAGTAAGGGAGAAGGCTGGCTATGAAAGGTAGTAGCGAAATATGTCTACTGCGTCGTAAACGTAAATGCTTTGACGTCAGTCGCTCGTTATGGATAAAGTGACCTGTTGTTCGCGAATGATGTCTTGTATCAAATAGTACTGCTTCTTGTACTTTTATTGTGACCCGCGCTGTTAGTGGTCTCCGTAGTAGATAAGCAGTGTACGCGAGATAGGCTAGTGATATTGACAGCAAAGTCATAGTGATGGTAATGAACCAGAGTTATAATAGAAGAAGCCACTACGTTGTGATCACTGGAAGTTAATTAATCTAGTAGAATGAGGATGTACCTGAACGGAAAGATGTAGAAAAGTGATGTTGCTATGTGCACGTATGCGTCCCAACGTTCTCTGGTCGCTGTCCCGAATGTGAGCTATGTTATGAGTTGCGGTTAGTTGGGAGAGGAAAACAAACTGACAAACGGGTGGTCACTTCGACGTACAATAGCGAAAGTGGCCAGCGTTGGGCGCGTTGGCTTCATTCTGTAACCTTACAGACTCAGTTGCCAAACGCGAAATCAAATGGAAAGCGAAGAAGCAGAAGCCGAAGCAAAGGAGACAGCAAATTTTTAGGCGATCACCGTATAGTCATGGGTGTCGCTGCTAACAGCGGCTTAAGAACTGATACCTCGTTCACCTGTCTGATTTACAAGGCGGAAGTTCACAGCCAATCAACCGCAGTTCAGCTAATAGCTGATGTTTCGTTAATATTACGGGTAAAGAAAATGCCAAGCAAACGTTATAATGTTTTAATGCCGTTTGAAATTATCACGTACGATCGAATTTCTGGCTTTTTCTTGTGCATTGGAAAGAATCCATCGGTTTACTTCTGCTCAGTTGTTTAGTGGAATCATTACACGTTGGGTGCTGCATTAAATGAAATTAACCCTATAGTATTGATACGCTCAATGCAACAGATGTACTTCCATTAAAATCAAGTTCCTCATACACGACTGTTTAGACTCATTGTGCGGAGAAAAATATTGGTAGGTAAGCGGCTAATGAGGTGACGGTCTTGACAGCGATAGCAAATGCCATTATAAGGGTGCATCTACTGTAATTGTTGTTTTATTCATCGACAAGTAAGGAGCCGAAGAGGCTGTTAAAAGACCGATTTCCAGACTCAGCGACGCAGCGTAGAGAAAGAGGGGCTTGCATAAGGGGCAAATCGGCACTATAGTCAAGAGAAAATAGACCGAATGTTTCTGTGGGGGACATTGTATTTGAAGCGGTTAAAGTGGCTTTTTCTCTAGGGTAACGATCGTTATACGTGCGTTTTAATGTTTGCCTTCGGTAAACTCTGGATATGCCTTGGAAGTTTGCTAAATATAAATACGTTTAACCTCTCTACTCACTTAGCGATGACGATTAAAACACGACTTAGTCATCCATCAAGATAAACTGAATCGACTACTGGTTATAGTAACAGCCTTCAGTCATTGGATTACAACAACTACAGCGTGGCGCCCAGTCGATTACTTGCAAGCTATCTTGCGTATCACACACCATGAATTTGTATCCGAACCCTCGTATACTGGTCGGTGTTAGTAGTTCTATTATAAAGTACCCATTCTCGTAAATGAGTATCACAGTGTTCTGTTTGGGACTTCAGACGACAATCCTATGTCCCGTTGTGTAAGTGAGCTGTCGACCACGTTTTCAAGGTCACGAAAACTGAGGATAAAACTAATGAGAAAAGGAGAGGCAGGTTACATGAGTGGCCGCATACGTGTATTGTTATCGTTCTGTTTCGTGTTTTTCTCTCTTTGCCAAATAGCTTGTCCGTCTTTTTCATAAGTGGCAAGTAGGCAACAGCAAGCAACGGTCTTGGCAGGCCGGCATCCAGCAAAACAGAAGCTGATAATAGTTTGTCGGAAGCTACGACCCTTGGATACAATGGTAAAGTAATAGAATGTCCCAGGGAAGTGTCTTTGCATAGCAGTAAAGTTGCCCGGTACCTAATTTAATATTGAGATCACGATATGTGTAACCTGGTTGATATAGAACATCGACGCCTGATATATATTATAATAGAAATAATCAAATGTATTTGGAAGTTATAATGTAGCTCTATAGATTTGTAGGCAGACAGCATTCAGCACGTAAAACGCTTTATAAAAGGGCGGAGTTGGGCTGACAAGTTGTGTAGGGATATGCACGTGTGAACATTGCTGTTGAATCCTACCATTGGTATTTAAAGTTGTATGTACGCATTTGGCGCTGATGAGGAAAGATGTTCTTTAAGGTCTTGCCGTTAGAATGTCACGTTGAAGAATGAAGTGTTTATTCTAGAGCTCTCCCTGATGCTTGATGGTAGCAAGCTACAGCCCTAAATTAAGTATGGCTAACAGTTTATACACCTTGGCTAAAAGTAACGGTTGTCACAGCGCCTAACAGTGTTGAACAATCGAGGGATTGTGTTCTATAAGTAGTTAGCTGGCATTTTAGCTGCATCGGAACGAAATAAATCTCAGTCTATATAATAAACTAGTCTATGCCCAAGTAAGTGAGCTTGACTGCTAACATTTTTTAAAGTCAGTACAGTTGCAATTATTCACCTATAGTGGATAATGGAGTTTGATCACACCTTTTTTTCGTTGACCAGAAGTCTAAGTAATTATTGTTGTTTATTTAAGTATCCGCCAAGGATCAAATTTTGTAAAAAAGAAAACGTCAACACTATTATTGTGATTACAGAAACTCACAGTACCGTTTTCATAACCTAAATAAACGGAGCGCAAACGTAGTTCGCGCATTGAAGTCGAACAATTTATTGGCAGAACGATTAACGGTTACTGTTCATTATCTCCGTGAGGTGACATGCCATCGACTAACAGCTGGGCTGCATTACGATGCAACGAATACGTCAGCGATTGTTAATGTCACCGTTTTGTGCTTTAGAAAATGCGCACCCTGGAAGGTTGCGTTATTGCAAAAATTGCCGTTAGTTAGGTCTGATTGAATTAGAATTTTCAAAGTAGGAAGGAAATAGAATCAATAACATCGCGATGAATGTTCAGATCGCATGGCGAAAATTATGAGTAATAATTGGTCTTAATAAAAAAACCGCTTACATGCAGGTTAGAGCGACAGTGACAGCTACACAAAAGCAAGTTCTGTTGAATCCCTATGAGAATTGTTTCTAACCTATTGTCGGAGTGACGTTCATCGGATTCAGGTAGCGCATCGGAGACCCATTTAGATACGAAGAAGTGAACATACCGTCAACAAAAGATGTTAGATTCTAACTTAACAGGCTATACACAGCTCTCAATATTAAGGATACTTGAGTAATTCCTAGTGAAGATTACTGTTTTGTAGGAAAACGGAATAGGCGAGACTTATCAGTTTCATAGAAAGCTACATTCTCTGTATAATCTACGTAGGATGAATTCGTCCTTCCAAGAGCACTGGTGCAGCGTCGTTCCGCTGTCGTGCGCGTATTCTTAATACGTAATGCCAACCAGTAGGTCAGCCGAAGGAGTCCACCTGCAAGCACGGCGTGCATGAGGAACGTCGACGTCCCGTTTGAGCGGTATTGATCTAGAGTTTTGTTGCATTTCTGAGGGATACATCAACTGGTATCAGCGCTTACGCTCTCATCGGTAATGTGTTAACTGCAGTAAAGCAATCCAGTGTCATTTTTTTCATCGCATTTCTTTCACAACAGAGCGTATTTGTCATTATTTATATTGTTTCGATGAGTCGCATATCTCGATAGCTACCATCTTTCGTTTCTCATTGATTGAATATTCATTGTTACCCTTAATGAGTTGAACTGACGTCATACACAAAATTTTTCAAATTCACAGCGTCTTGCAAGAGCAACGAGAAGTTGCACGAAAAATAAAGAGGGTGTTGCAGGCTTATCCGTCAAAATGCGAGATTGATTTACAAGGTTTTTTGAAGAAGTCAAACAACAGCAGACGACACAGTCAACTAACAGAGATGATGTTAGACATAGTTATGAGGTGCTGCTGTGCATTAGGACCACCTGATAACGTTCGTATTGTCATAGATGACTGATCCGATTTTAACAGAAAAAGGAAAAGAGGAACCGTTTAAACTATGGCCGTCCTTGAGGCATCTTACAGAATCCATATTTATTCATTGACACGCTGCTGGATTGTAAAAAAAACCTGTTGCGTCGCTACGTCTGCGTCGGACACTGGCAGCCTAACTACGCCAGTTAGCAAGCACACATCGCTGCCGCATATAGATGATAGTAATTATCTATCACTTTGTCGAGTAGACTGGGCGACTGAGAATAGTACAGAAATCAGCTTCACAGCGTAAACACTTTTTTAACCAGTAATAAGTAGTGTTGCCTTTTTGAAAAAGCTGTGAACTTGACTCAGCATGACATATGTTACAAATATTCGGGTACGTTGAGACGCTTTATCGTTCATTGAATCAAGCATACTCCAGTTCATTGCCCTTGATGTTTAGTAAAAAAAAAACCTTCCCGTGTAAAAAGGAATGTTCTATGGGAGAGGGTGTTTCGGTTTTATTAGTTGTCGATATTGTTTTGCACCAGTGCGTTAAACAAGTATCGTTGGAGATCTCGTTCTCCCGACATATCTCGACGATGAGACTACACTACAAAAATCACCAAATAATACTATATAAATAATACTTATGCGCATAATACTTTTAAGTTCAAACTATTTTTATTTGGGGTAATGCCGAAGAATGCCAGAAATATTTAAAAATTTGAAAATCTGCTATTTCCGAAATTGTCATTCGGTAGCATGTAAATCTAATCTTTTTGGCAGGAAGTCCGCCCGGAAATAGTACACCCAGTTGGGATCAAAAACAGGAATCAACTCCCAGAGCTTGACCAGTTACTAGGTCCTTTTCGGAAACGTCGTGCGCACTATTCATCAGTTCATGCGTTCAGAAAATCTGATAGAAGGTAACGACAACGCCCAATAGAACTCTCGAAGGGGACCAACAGAGTACAAGCCTTATATGTGGAACGGGATTGTGTGGGACCTAATCGTGCTCTAAAATGCCGTCACTTAGTTTTCGACACAATTGGTAGCAGTATGCAGTAACCTGGCATGCTTAAGAGGGTAATCTTTAGACGCCCCTGGCAAAAATACATGTTTATGCTTTAAACTCGAATCATCCGGGTCTTGTAACAAGGCGTTTTTAAGATAAATATATTATAAGGAAGTTCGAAGTTACAGTAGCTTCTACAGTTTTCGTTGTGCGACGAACTTAACTGGGACGTCAGGCGGTAAATGCCAAATGGTGTGTACGGCCCACAGCGGTCATGATCATAATAATTATGTTAATGATACAATTTATGGGTATAAAGAGCTATAGTATCGGTCGCTACTGGTTCTGTGGTTCTGAAATAATAACTGAAGAATGTATGAGGCTAATTTTGTGTTACTTCTATTTTTGATATTTATTCTAGTAATGCGGCCGGCTATCAATGGGCCACTGCGGTGGCTGAGCACTCGTGCACAGATTCCGCCAACGACAACAAAAGAGTTTGTTCGTCACGTCGACCATTACTCGCGGTTTAATCCTTCGCCACTCTCCATTAAACAGTTTCTTGAGTTCGGTATGTTATCAACGAACGTATACGATCATAAAATATGTACGTAGGTACAGTATGCAGGATGTGCCAGCGACCAACTTCTATAATAAAGCCGTATATGCACATTGTTTGCTTTTCAATTTGTAGATAATGATATATATTTTAATATATCAAAAATAGGCGTGAACTTTTTGAGTATATTGAATATATAGAGCCCAAGGAAGCTTTTAAAGACTTTTGGAATTTTCCATTATTTCATATCAAGTGCAATTCTAAGGTAAAAGTTCCATTTATTAGAAACGGACTTTTATGAAAATAAAAACAAAATAACTTCTAGTACAGATTAAAAGATTACGACATCGACTGCCAACTGTAGAGAAGCAAATTAACTCAATCAGTAACAAAAAGAAATGTCAGAGAAGACAACAAGTAAAAGAAGAATTACAAATTATTCATTTAAAATAAAAATAGGATATCGGAATTGTACTAATAACCGTTGATTTTATTGGTCATTCTCTTTATGGCTAGTATATCGAATAGCAAGATGTAGTCCGCAGAGCTTTCATTGGTATTATACCGTGCAGTGTACAAATGTGTAATAGAATACTAGATTATGTATATAAATACAGGGCAGGCCAAAGGTCTCTGTACAATGAGCTTTGTTTTCAAATTCGTTTAACTAGCAGGATATGTGCAATTTATTGCTATGAAAAGCATATTTAATTGTGTAACACAGTAACAGGGGCATCGTCTTCAAACTATCCAAAGACGTTTGGCCCCTCGGTGTATACGTCGATGGCGAAAATCGTGGCTTGCATTACGATGTTCAGCCCATATTTAAACTAAGGCAGCAGCTTTGGGAGCGCCTCAGATTGTCGGAAAGGACGGGCTATCGGGTTGAGTTGCCCGGCCTAAGGAAAATACTATTTTTGGGACCTGCTCTTGCTGGAGAAGCTTAACCTCCTTGCTGGTGGGCCTCTTTGCAGCATACAGATACGAAGCAAGCGGGCATCCGGACTAGTCGTGACTTCGGATACAGATCAGTCTGTATGATTTCAAATCTGAGGAGCAATTGGGACAAAGTTGCTCCAGTACCTTGTTCATTGTAGTGTTAGCAAGAAAACGGCTGCGTAGGAAGTGTCATGGCAAAGGGTACTCGAATTTCTGCCCTTTTGCAACAACACAGTTCATCTACCTAGGCCTGCCTATAACTGCCCTCTCGTAGAGACCGTCCTCATTCGTCTTTACCTTTTGGCAAACTCAACAGCTATGAACACATTCATGAGCTCACATCCATTGCTCGAAATCCCTTGTTCCATAAAACAAACGGACTGTGAAATTGCTGAGGTTTTAAACTACGATACTCCAATCTTCTAGAACTAAACTTAAGTGAAACAACTGTTTCAGTTTATTTTAGTGGATGTGAGGTAAGGGTAACACTTGCAATAGGCGTCTACAACTTCTGCTGCAATGAGATACAATGAAATAATGAATGCAGCCCTGTCTTGAGTTCTTCGAGAGACTTATGAATCGTTGGCACGGCAATCGAAAGCAGTCTGGTCGTTTGGCGATAACGCCAGACCTGATCGCCGTGCTTCAGTTACTTCCTGAATTGAGGAAAGCAATATTCAATGTTGACTTCAATCCCCTTAACCTCCCGATGTAGCTACGTGCCATTATGGATCTTTTCATAACTGTCCAGAAGCCGGCCGAGTGTTGACACAAATGTATGAAAAGCAAAATGCTTTTAATGATGATTGAAAATTCGTCATTCTGGCTCAGCTAGCCCAAAAAAAACTCCGCTATAGTGGGTCGTAATGGCCTAATATATATATATACCTGTGGGTACAAAAGAGTTTGAATCTTTGTTACAAAATGTATGTCGAATGGATCATGGGCAGCAATGAGATAAATTTAGCCGTGTTTCTAATGTGTGTTCTGAAAGGAAGATAATCTCTGATTTTAATTTAAGCATCTCTGCTAGAGCTACTATTTAAAATCTCACCAAAGTCATTTACATTTTGACATATTTTTTAAAATCTTCAATTTAACAGTTGTTTCTTGTGCCAAACAATTGCATTGAGTCACTTTCTGGCAGCTTTGAGCCGTCATGAAACGCAAACAGCATCGTACCACTAATCTGTTGCGATCGCCTACGCGATCATTACTGAAACTCCGTTCTCATGTAATTAACAGTGGCACTGCCGATATGCTTTGTACTTCTTACAAGACTGTTAAAAGTAATCTTAGGATATTTTTGAAAATCACATTTGATTTTGAGCGTAGTCATTTTTTGCATTGATGTTGAGAAAAATTCCAATGATTGATTCGATGAAAACACGCATTGTGTAAAAATAACATAATCAAAAAGTCCCAATTAATTAATAATATACTTGAAGACATATTAACATGGTATTCAGCGAAAAGGATGATTTAAGAAACGATGCAGTATTGTTGTTCGACGGTTATCATCTATTCCGAAATTACTATAGTTATTTGTCTATCGAATCAATTTCACGATACAATAAAACCTAAATTAAAAGTGAGCGATATTCGTATTCTTTTCACACACACTAAACAATTACAATTAGAAAAAATTTCCTATTACTAGAGCATATATTAAATGGGTGATTTTTTGCTCCGATTGGTTTAATCGGCACCTCTCTAATGCGTTATTAATACGGTGTTTAATCTAGCTGAATACAAATGTCACAGTTGGCAAAGGTTCTACATGCTCACAGACAGATCTCTGCGTATAAACAAGGGATAATATTCGAGCGTATTTACGATTCTTCTTTATCATGCAATTCGATCGCCATATCACATTGTATTGTGACCTCCTCTTTCCATGCTAGGTGCGTGCTCATCGCTCGTAGTGTCATTCACTCGCTGCCAAGCTCACAACATAGCAAACGCATGGTCTCTCGTGCAACTGCGTGCTTTTGTTAGGCCAATTCATGGCAGATCAGTAACGCCACTATATCAGCAGTATAGCTAGGTATTATTTTTGGAATTTTAAGGTAACAGCTTATTTGAAAACAGTTCTAGTTTTGATTTACCATATATGCGGGTAATAGCCATTAATTGAAGAATTTGTCTGACGGCTTTAATGTATAAGTGTGCGGCAGGAACTTGTGCAATTAACAGGTAACGTTTGCTTTGAAAATGCTTTCATGTGTCATACGAAGCTTTTTAGATAAAATCTTAAATGGTTAAATCTAACCGAATTTTATGCATCTCTCAACAGGGGAGAGGGCTAACCCCGCCGAGTCATGCTCGTTCCTACGAAAAGAGCTTCCAGTTCGTTTGGCGAATATTATGAAAGAGATTCAGCTCTTACCACGACAATTACTTGAAATGCCTTCAATTAAACTAGTTAACAGCTGGTATCAACGGAGTTTTCTGGAAATGGTTCAATATGACCAGAAAAAAGTAAGATTTTAAAAGACACTTCGTTTTATGCTTGGTAAGCGTTTGACAAACGGCTTATTTTTTTTTTCTCTTTAAATCGACAATAAGTAATATCTAGTAGACAAAAGCGCCTCCTTCGTTTCACTAAATAAATAATTGAGATTACGTACTACGCATATTCTTCGTATTTAGGGTGATTTGCGCGAGTCAGAGCTCACTGATTTTACGGAAATGCTCACTACCATTCGCAACCGGCACTCGAATGTCGTCCAAACTATGGCCGAAGGCGTCCTCGAGCTAAAACGCTCAACTCCCACAGATCTGTCGACAGATTATGCGATCCAATATTTCCTTGATCGCTTCTATATGTCCCGGATATCGATACGAATGTTGATCAATCAGCATACATCACTGTTCGGCGATCTCGACGCGGATGATCGTCCGCCAGGTGATTGTCATCTTCAATAATCTAATTGTGAACAGCATCAAGTAGCGCTATCATGAAGCAGGAAGTTATAACAATACGATTACTCTATAGTATTTTTAAGTTGATGCGTCCATGTTCATAATATATACTTGATATTGAAGACTGGCTAACCGAAGACAAGCTGTCAACGACTGTAGCCAACCAAATGTACTCACGACAGTGATGCTAGATCCAGAGGGGTCTTTCAAACGATTACCTTTCGTTGTTCCCTCATATAGGCAACGGTGGACGTGTAGGTGTTATTGATCCATACTGTGACATCACAGTGGTAACATTGGATGCGTTCGAGAATGCCAAGTTCCTCTGTGACCAGTACTATCTTACGTCACCGAACATGCATCTTGAATGCATTCCACCAGGTATGCTTAGATTTTATTGAAGTAATAGAGATATTAAGATAATTCATATTAAATAAATAATTTATATTGAGGATTAAAGTATTTACAGGAAGTGCACGTGCGTACTCATTTTGGATTCAATTAACTTATTTATACACCTATGGTCCTGTTATTCTCAACCTTGAGCCGATTAATTTTTAAGTGAGAACATAGATTAGTTGTATTTTTGGACCCCATACTTTTAGGGTACGGTTTAGTTTAATCTTTAGTGAGATTTCCCAGAAGTAAACCGCTTCAGTTATGCTGTAATGTGTTTCTAATATCGACCTGTCAGTGGTCGGCGATTACCGCTCAACTGCTGGAAATTTTCAAAACGGCAACGTAAAATTCCTTTTACTTTTTGAAAAGTTGAAACGAATTTTTTAAGGCAGATTTGACTTATAAGTCCATATTCCACAGATAGAAGAAAATATATTTTTTCTTCATTCTGTGGAAGACAGAATCGACTTAGGTCCTTCTATAACATCTTTGCTGTGGCCTAGGTTCGGATCAGTGCATAGATAGGCTTCGTGTCATGGTGGGAGCCACCTGTCTGATGGAATGCCTAATGGTGATACGGGACGTAAAATTCGAAACATGCAGGATACTTATATGAACAGGTCGCCCCGGTGATGACTAATTGAGTTTACATTATAAGTATGCGCAGATATTCGCGCAAATGAAAGGCCGGGCGATGAAAGAGATCTCTTATCGAAGGGCAAAAACGTCCAATAACCCAGGCATGCCGGATAGACTTACGAAAGATTGCGTTACTACGAGGCTAAGTGCCCGTATCTCACGGTTCCTGTGTGCAAAGAGATCTGGAGTGAGGAGCTGGGAGACATTGCAAGCTGAGTGATAGCCAAGGACAAGTTTTTTGACTTCAAACAAACAAGAAATTCCGTTTCGTTGCTTAAGATACCTAAAAAATATTTGAAATACTCTTAATGTACGTTGACTACGCAAATCCTACGATGTCTAAGTCGATGAGAGAAACAGTTTTTCACTAATTATTAATAGATTGATGGTTGATTAATACTACTCAGTATCATAAACGAGCAATTTATATTTGGAAAACATCATACGATAATACTGCAAAACAACAAATGCATAAGTTATTCGGTTAATGCAGTTCTCTCATAACAAGTCGTTATAAGATTTTCCGCACGCTTAGTCACCAAATTTGAACATGCAATGTGTACAGCGGATTTGTCATGTATTTCTGTCTATTTACTTTCAAATAGGACCGACGTTTCATGTGAAGACACACACGTTCAACTAACAAATTTTAATTTTTATTTGGTCATATAATTTCTATTTTCCAGATAAGCGTGTTCGTATCGTTTACGTGCCTTCACACCTCTATCATATCCTGTTTGAGCTTTTCAAGAACGCGATGCGAGCTGTTGTAGAGCGCCATGGACCGGATACTGATTCCGACAAATTTCCGCCATTGCGGATCCTCATCGTAAAAGGCGAAGAAGATATCACTATACGGGTTTGTTTTCGTTTTTGAGCATTTTGCAAGGTGCCGAATTAATAGCCTTAGAGAAGCCTTCGTTTAGGTACGATTCTACAATGTGAAAAAAAATCGTTAACTGCTAATACTTGATGGAAAGATCTAAAAAATTTCGTTTCCTATTCGTCGCGCTCGATTTCTCATGTGTATTGTTGTAACGATTGTCCTTCATATGGCCTACGTGACGGTTTCAGCTAAGTGACATGGGGGGAGGTATACCGCGAAGTGCAAGCGACCTCCTATTTCAGTACATGTACTCGACGGCGCCGGAGCCTTCACCGACGGATTCAGCCCCGCTGGCTGGGTATGGGTACGGCCTTCCATTGTCACGGCTATACGCCAGGTACGAGATATTTTATTTTTTGCCTATTTTTGGCTTGAAATAAAAATACTCATAAATAATGAGTATTTTTATTTCAAGCCATCAAATTGGAGATAAACTGTCTGCTTAGCAATACTGAGGAGCTCTAACGTCCAAAAAGGTTAACAGACGCACTCATTCGAATGACATACTCCAATCGTTATTTGGCCATAAAATTCCTGTAAGGGTAGCAGAGGAAGCAAAACTGCTTATTGAAATTTTGGTAATGCGCGAACACCTTTAAAGATAAAAAAGAAGGTGATGTGAAGTGAAATTGTGCACATTATGGTCGGCGCAAATCAGCGTAGCGCGCTTACATTTGATTACAATCCGAATCAAATAATGTAACCGGGATAGAGGGGGACCCAAGCAATCCTCGAACTGATTGCGGAGCCAGTTACGAGTACTCTAATAATGTGGTTTCACCTTAATTAGGTATCTGCATGGCGATTTGACCGTAACCTCGATTGAAGGCTACGGAACCGATGCGCACGTGTACATCAAAGCAATCTCGAATGAATCACACGAAAAGTTGCCGATTTTCAACAAAACATCTTCGAAGCACTACAATATGGTTATCGGTTCCAACGATTGGTCGAGCCCTGTCAGTGGTAAGCATAAGCTGAATCATTTTACCAGAAATCAATAGAAGGCAATGGTTTTGTGCTACAAGCGGCCCTAAAAGGCTAAATACCAGAGAGGATTACACGCAATACTTCCAAATAACTGCCTTCTGCCAACAATTAACGCACATATACCACCGAAGACAAATAAATCAAATGTATGAACCGATGGAAAAGAATTAGACCTCTAAAAAAAGCAAAAAAAAGCAAGGAATAAAGGAGAAAATATACTGTGTGGCGACATAACTTTTAGAACAGTTTGTGCTAAAAGTTCACAAAATCTTAGCCAAAAAAAATGGGAACTGTATTTGTAGTGTACACGATAAATACTGTTCTCATTTATTTGGTGGAAATCTGGAAATCGACTTCTATCGCATATCGAAGTGCAATGTTGCATTCGTATTTCTATAGGCCGCTAGTTTTTCTTTTTCAAAAGCATACCGTGTTTGACCCTGGTTTTTTAACGGATACTTGCTGGAATGAGCCACCCCACACTTCGCGAGTTTACTTATTGTCCGCAACTTTTGCTAAGGGTTAATGAATTAACGCATATGGTTCTGCACAAAAAGGACGCATCGTATTTTTTAAAAGTAAAATGTAGAAAAAATAAGCTTGCTGGCTTGTACATTACAATTTCTTCTTTATAGACAGTTCCTTCTAACGCTAAGTCTGCTTTGATTTTGACGTTTTTTAAGACGAACTCGTTGTATGGCCCAGCGAGGAGATGGAAAAAAGTAAAAGTAAAGGTAGGATCTTTACGCATATCAGCGTATTACAAAAACGTTTGGCTGCTTGAAACAACACGAGCGGCCACATGGATTATGAAAACTAATAAAAAAAAAGTTCATAGACGAATCAAGAGCAATCATTCGACCTCTAAACTGAGGTAGAAACTTAAATTAATGTCAGCTATGTCATATGATCAGTTCGATATTGTATTAAGTTTCGTCTCAATATACTGTTCCTTTGACAACCTTTGTCTTGACATTACTTTAATGGGTTTGTTACTATCTACTATATGTACATATCTAAAAGCGGTAGGCTTCAGGTGAGCTCCTCTAATAGACTAGTGTACTATTAACGTATACTAAAGAAATGTCCATTGCATCTTTTTGATCTTTGGTCACTTAGTATGCCATGGTACTTCTTAAGCGATAACAACCTAGAGAGTAATGAACATGCAGCAAACTGACTGATTTAAATGAAAACAACTAAGATATATCTGCTTTGTTGCAACCAAATAAGTCTGCTGTCGACTGTATACGAAGGGAATTTAGGGCATCTGTTTTAGTTCTTTGGAAAGCGTACCAGAGAGGTAAACTTCTGGCCAGTGTCTTCGTCCTTAATTACACTGGCAAAAATCAAATTGGGATGGATATTCTAACTACGTGGAATTTGTAGCTTCATTACAAGTTAATAAATAAGCAATTTCCTTCAAATCGTCCTTAGATAATAAAAAATTCGGAAATAGTAAATTTCTTCGTCTTTTCTCCCGAGGCAGCTGATTCTTACACCTATTCCTCCTGCATTGAAATATTGCCACAGTTTGTTTTTGCTTTGATTGCTTGCAGGAGGACCACAGCAGCACGGCTGGCGGGATCGCTACACGAAGCACCTTTAAAGGCATATCAAAGCACTGAAGGAGGGGGAGTATCCGACACGCCAAGGTCCTCTGATTCGACGTAGAAACTTTTAAGGAAATTTTAGTAGCAGTCTATATTGTTTTCCCAACTAATTCGTGAGCACAATGGCAAAAGCGAACTTCAGATAGCAAATAGAGAAATAGTCATCTGCTGCGATATAGAAATCAAGCAACTAGCGGACACCTGTCAAGTAATGGGGTAGACGCTCCCTGGCGTCTACTGAGGTCTAGTGGGGACACGCGTTCGGACAGTAACTGACTGAGGTGAACTAACGAGATGATAAGGCCGCGCAGCGTCAACTTCACAGTGAAAAAATATGGGAGATCTAGTTCTCCTAGAATCTGTTTAAAAGATTGGAAAAAGAAAGGAAACCGACAAAGTCGGGATGCTTTTCAATGTTTTCGGTATTAATTGTCTGAACAGGACTTTTTTTTAGAGAGAGAAGGTGTCTATTGCTCTGGTTATTCGCGTACGTATTGAAAAGATGTACATAATTAGATCCATTTTCTGTTATAGTTTGCAGTGAATAAATGCGGAGAGCTTTGCGTTAAGTTACCAGCGCTGCATCTATATCGTTATGCCCGTAGGTTTCCACGGCCTGAAAAGGAACGGCAGATAAAATTACATATGCGTAAGTTTTTGCAATTGATTTTGTTTGCGATATCAGCTACTCTACGACTATTATTACAATTGCTCAATTTTTTCACTCATGGGCACTGTTCACATCGAGGCAAATGGTTGGTTGCTATATGTATTATTGACATTCTTTGCAATAGGCATATTAATTATTGCTGAATATTGCTGCGACTATGCTCGTTCTGACGAAAGAAGAAACAAGATACTGTATGAAACACCCGTTATTGATAAAGACTCAGATTTATTTATATTAAGAGATGCAACAAAATAGAACCCTAAGAGAACTGATAAAACAAGAGCATATCTCCTGAAAGAAGATTATATATTAGTAGTGTTTTTTTTGGCTCAGCGGTTTAGCCTGTTGTTTCAAGAAAGTTATCTATTATTCACTTACGCATCATGGGCTAACATAATTCCATATGTATCATGTAATCCTTGTAACATCCGTTCGATGCTAAGAATTGGTCGTTTCGTTGGTTTCGCATACTACCTTGCCCCAAGGGGACTGCCTCTTGTTTCCTGAATTCGGTCCGGGTAGCAAATACGAACGCCACTGGAACATATCTTTTATCCCAATTAAGACTGTATAAACATTTATGGTCTTCGGCCGTGGTTTCCAACTTATGTAATGAAAGCTAAAGTCTAAGGTCTATCTAACATGATAACGTTTTTGTCGTATATTTTTATAAGTTGGCGCTGCTTTCAGTTTGGCATCCTTCTCCAGAGGTTACTTATTGATGAGCTAGACGATTAGTCTCTTGAGTTCGCCTGAATAGGTTATATACAGCTAAATCGTGCAATTAGGCGTTTCAAAGTGGAAGCCTTCTGAAAATAACGTATTTCGACCTACAAATGACCTTAGTCTGTATTTAAAGCTGGAAGGATGTGAAAAGCCGTAGAATAAGTTCGGCGCAGCTTACAAATGATCTGTACTAAAACAATATTAATAAATAGTATATTAATGCTACTACAAGTTATATATACTTGAGTATACTTATAACGAATAGGTAGAATAATGGCAATAAGTGTAATAGAAAACAAAGTAACTTCCATTATTTGTCCATATTTATCCATTTATTATATTGTAATAATTAGTAATTGAGCGATAAATAAAAAGTATGCTTTTAACCCGTTCAAGCAAGTACACGAACATATCCAGACAAGATACGAGCATGATACTAATTAATTATGATGAAAGGAAGTTGTATTTGGTGCTCAATGAAATGCGACGTTTTTTAAACTGACGAAATTGAGGAAACGTATCGAATTATGGTACAGGAAAATGCTCAACTCAATCTAAAGTAGTAATTTAGTACCTATTATTAATTATCGATATAATTTTTATTGTTATCACTCGCACTGTTATCACAGTTATTATATGAGCACTGAGTATTTTGCCAAAGCTCCAAGATGAAAACAGAAGTGCAAAGTAAACAAAATGCGGCGAAAAAGAGGCGCCAAAACGGGCGTGCGCAAACACCATTTACCAAAACAAGGAAAAGAACCACCTGAATTAGCGAGTACAACTGCATTCAAAAATCGCTGAGTAAAGGGCCTCACTAGCGAGGTAAAGGCCAGCTATTGACAATGAAACTTCAAGCAAGATTATTTTCTTTAAAATAGAAACGAGGAAGTTGCAAGTGTCAAAATTTCGGTTACTTACCACCATAATGTAGTGGTCCACGCTTTTAATGTGAATTTGTGCATTGACTATATACACAATGATTACGTGTGTGTAATATTAAATGGCTACTTTTTTATGGTACAGAGGATTAAATGTGTGGACTGAAAATAAGTGCTTTCATTAGCTCTAGAATAATTCGAATCGTTCAATTTTTCATGAGCCAAATGTGCTTTCCAAAAAAAAACAAGTATTCTCTTCAGTCAGATTCGACCTGTTACGAAGATTCTATGATTCACTTTGATAACATATTTCGTGTATTTATTACTATTTATGCTTATATATGACTTCATTTAATAGCCAGTTTACTAGATAAAGTCGCGGGGTTCCTGCTGTGCCTTTTCTGTTCTAATAAATGATTTCAAGTTTACTACGGCACCGCCGTCGAGTTCCAGCATGAAACAAACCATGTATGTGTCTACGTCTGGTTTCGAATTTAGATTACGTCGCCTGTAAGTAAGTTAACTTTACCTGTAAGTAAGTTTACTTTAGTAGACTGTAGAAGCGCCTAATGACGTCTGCTGTTGTTCTAGCGTAAATTATATATTAGTGTTTATGCCGTTGTAGTTTTTGTATCGCAGTTATCCGGTCGCTCAAAAAGAACGAAGAGCATGAACGAATTCCTTAGAAAAATTCAACCGTTCGAGTGTCTTACTTCGGTCATTGCGCAGTGGCGTAATGACTACGAATTCAATTATATTCAGTCTAACGTTCCGTTCAATGTAAATTCTAAATTTGTTAGAGTAATATTGCCACAGCATCCCATACCCTGTTGAAATGATCCACAGAAAATCAAATCACAGCACTATATGATATTTTAGGCCAACAAACATCCACAGACGAGCAGAGATCATTTGTAATATACTTTAACATGGTCTGTATGTTTAGCCCCGTAACCGTCTTACTGGACTTCGCATATCTGATGTTGCACACTCTAGGCTAAAAAATAGTCTAGATGACCCCGCTGTGGTTACCTTACTATGCCTGTGCCGTTCGTAGTGTTTCAACAACTCTATCTTTCTGCAGCCACTGCGCTGGTCCGATTCAATGTAGATAAACTCAGTCTGTGTGGCATTTGAAGTAACGTGAAGTATAAGCTCGCTTGCAAACCTAAATCTTAGCAGTTATTCGGTTGCCTGGAAATAATCGAAAGTGGCCAATGTTGCGCATAGTACTTGGAGCAGTATGAACAGAGTATACAGTTTTCGGGTGCGCTTCCTTGTAGTGATAAAGCTATGTAAGTGTCAACATATTTGGACTGAGTAACTGAAAATTTTCACGTTACTCAGAAGTACCTTCGAAACTTACCAGAGATCATAGTGTAATGCCGTATTTCCAGCAAAGGATTCATTGAACCATTCGATTTTGAGAGTACAATGACGGGTGCCAACCGCTTCGATTCATTGCAAAAACCACATACCCGCAAGAACTGTAGTAAAGCTAGCGAATCTTATTTCCAACGGAACTGAGTACGTGCATGTTATCATCGTGAGTTAGTCCTATGGAATACCCTGTCGGTTTATCAGACTTGGCGGCAATGGACTTTTTTTTTCATGGAAATGCCTAAAAGGTAAGGTCTACGCCGTCGATACTAGAAGGTTTAAAAGCAGCAATCTATTAAAACCAACTATACATTATTTCAGGGCGCCCTGTATAAGGCGCCTTTGGACACCAACTGTATGACAGATTGGCTAATATGTAAGAGACCGTTACTAACGAGATGCATGGTAATATTTCCGTTAAATGTACCGCTTGTAATGTGTGCGATTATAAAACGATTAGATCGATCATTCTTGTTCCGTTACTACAAGCTTTGGGCGAGTCCAAGTTTCCTATTAAAATTGGTGAGCCTTTTTTCATAAGTTATAAGCTGGATCCGCCAAAACCGTCAAGGAGTTCCAGGTGAAACGCACCGCGTTACTTGATTTATGAAATATTCTTCTTTTAAATTTCTCGAAATCCATATAATTCAAGCATTTTTTCATGACACAAACTGTTACACTGACAGAAATGAATATACTTTTCTTGCGATAAAATGAGGTCTATAGATTTTCCATAACGTTTTCTTGCACTAAAATCCGTTATTTGCATTTTTTGAAATTTAGCTCCAGTCCTAAAAAGATGAAGGGCTTTGCGTCGGTCGCTTTCGGTCGAGTATTTTGATTGCATCTGAATGTATCCATAGAGCTGTTTAGAATTAGTATTACTAGATTATTTGGCTAAGAGTTATTAACAGAAGTAGCGTGAATATCCCTCGGGACACGTACGTACGTATATATATAACGTAGGGATATATAACGAGATACCCGTGAAGGTTTATTCTCACTGCGAGAAGCGTTCAGCTGACAGTTTTTGGTTATATTATGAAGCGATTAGATAATCGCTGCTACGGTAAAGAGCAACAGTTCTTTACCACAGATTTAGAGTTCATGAGCTTTTTCCATGCTACATATTATACCCTTCTTGACAAAACCGGGAAATCTTGAATTTGGAACGTAATATTCGACTTCTATTTATTTTGATGATAACTCACATCAATAGCTACTTCTTTTAGACAATCGCAGAGATCTATCTGTCTTGTCACAATTATTTTTCATGCTTAACAAACACATTTGGACGTCCCTTATTTGTTTTTATTTATACTTATACATGTTTCAATAAAGTTGACCAATTTTTTCATGATGTCTATAATCTATTAGCCTTGTTCAGACTTCAAAGTATGTGTTATGGCTAGTCACCAAATCTTTTCTGATTCGTTTTAGAATAATTTGCTATTTGTCGGCTTGTGCATATCCTCCAGCTTATGTGTTTTCTTCCACGCCCAATGACTTTGCTTTTATTTTAACCTTGGATATATCTCAACCCACGCTTCAGATATTTCCGTTTACGTTTGCTCATTTGAAGCCGTGTTTGTCAATGTGTCGTTTGGCTTAAATATCGAAGACGTTTTACCCTCTCGGTGTGTTTCATAAAACTTCAATGAAGGTGATAGCTCCATGCTTCTTAAATTCAAAAAAAAAAAAAAAAAAAAAAGCTGTGATTGATGTAACGCACAGATAACAAGCTAAAAGTGTCCACAGACTGCACGAGGCTTGATAACTGGAACCGCACAAGCTCGCGTTTGATTAACCTAAGTGTGATTTAAGTGCTGACAACGGTAACGCGGTGTATAGGATTAGGATCTGTCTTCCACACTAATATGCCTGTTTCAGTGTGAAATACCGAAACGTATTTCTATCGTAATCAGACTCACCAGATAACATGAAGTAATGTCACAGATAGTTAACCCAACGAGTAACTTAATTCTTTTTTTTTTTTTTTTTTTTTTTTACTGAAAAATGAAGCGATTCTGGACTTGAATAAACACGAAATGATTTAAAGTATCTTCATTGAATGGCTTTTATTCGCTCGCCTATGGAATACAAAAGGCTCTGTAGCTAAGGATTAGATATAGTCATTTTCTAGTGGTGGAGGAGCGCCTCATGGTATGGTTATGTTTTTCTCTAATTTTATCTAAAACTATTACTTTAGACCAATCGAATTAGATAGTTAAGGTACAAGAAAGTTCGCAGGAAGTTACCTGAAGCGATGCTAAACTACTGCAGTACGACTACGCATGTCTATTGCTTACTATGATAGAGTGATCACTCGTGAAGAATCCACTACCTCTCTGTTTATCTATAGTCATTTTTAAACCTATCGAGTGTAGCGTTATTTAATCGACCAGTTATGTTTTCTAGCTGATTTTTCCACCTATCTTCCTATCATTAATCCTACCTATCTTAGCTTCCTTTACCCATGGTACTTTAACTTAGACGTCCATCAAGATAAACAGTAAACCATATTGGCATTTGACAATTTTAGTTATCCCTAAGCTATGCCTCACAGAATTGACATTAAGTACTTTTAAATAGATAAAGTAAGATTTTTGTATGATAGTTTCCAGTATCGACCCAAATATGCTTTATTAGACTTTTGAATTGAAGCCGTTTACCTATCGTATGAAAACACTGCTTTGATTTTATTGAACAAAAGTGTTTTTATTTAGCATATCCGTTCGTTATCGGGTTTTTCGTGTTAATGGTTACATTATTCATGGTTACAGCATAATTAGTAATAGTCATCATTATCGCCGTTATCGTCTTCGTCATTTTGTCATATTAGCACAAAATGTTGTGTGTATATATATATATATATATATATATATATATATATATATATTAGATTTGGTTATCGTGTCTTTGTTATTGTTGTTGATGTTGTTGTTGTTGTTGTTGTTTTGAACAAGCGAAACGTGCGGCGGTGCCCTGCGTTTTAGAGTGTCAATGTGGGGAGTAGCTAAATCGGCCTTGCTCGATGCCTTCTGTCTGCCTTCTGTTCAAAACTCTGCTCATTTTCTAACTAATTCCGAAGTACAAAATGATGGTATTTAACTACTGCTTAAATCATCGAGTCTGTTTTTTTCCGATTGATACTAGAATTCGCTACCCTCGTTGCTGATGCGTCAACGATTGTTATATAATGCAGCTATCCGGGGGAGTAGTCAATGATTCCTATGCGCTTTCTAGCAGCCGACCCTTCTTTTTCCCAATTGTCTTCGTATTATTTCGATATATAAAGTTGACCTGACAACACTGTAGGAAAAAGGTGTGTTTGTTCACTTAAACTTCTATTTTACTAGGAGTTTTTCTTTACCCTATCAGGGATGATTCCAAGGAATAACCGTACTTGCTGAATTCGAAGGGATTCTATACTTTTGAGAATAGCTTGTTTCCATATGCATGTTCAACCATCCAGTATTAATCAGCTAGTTACGAACAATACAATCCGTAAATAACGATAGCTACTTCTAGACCTCGAGTATTCCATGAGGCCAATGAATTGGTTATATCGGCATTAGTGATCGCGAAATTTAGTAGTACTTAATGGATGTTCGGAGGCCAAATGTTTCACATATAGCTATCAGAAACAGAACACGACAAGGCCTGACGCCCAAGATATTTGAGGAAGGCGTATAATTATCCGATGAGCAGATACCGCCGATAAGATCGAGGTTGTCGGCCAAAGGACAGGGCAGCGTGGCTGTATATATCGACAAAGGAACGGTATATCAACGATGTACCTGATTACTGCTCTGTGTAGCATCTCCGGTGTTCATGGTCCTGTATTCGTGCCCCTTTGTCAGGGCCAGAACTGCAAAGTAAACAGCGAAGCCGAGCTGGAGGCTCGCGGACAAGAGATTCTCAATATCGCATCCCCGATTGCTAACTAGTTTGCATTGTTGGATAATGTGGGAGTCGGCTCCGCTCTCATGCGGAATCTCCACGGAACAGCCGGCTGCTGATTGACTAGAAACGTCTCGCTAGTAAAAGTGGGACAATCACATCATCGCTTTTGTCTGCTTCGACCTGCGCCTCTTCTTTCCTCTGACTTCGGCGTCGTTTTGTTTATTTGCTTAGAAAAAAACTTGGTTCGCTCGACCGGAAGAAGAGCATTAGTTGTGGCTACGATTTGAGTTTTGTTTGCGTGAACACCGCACGCGCCCGAATTGTCTTCCGGTGCCATTCGAGGTAGTCCAGCGTACACGCGTATATAGATACGAACAACATACTTCAATGCTACATCCAGTAATCGGCTCCGCCGCAATCTAACTTCGTGTCGATATATTATGTTGTTTTTTTGTCGTCAGAGTGGTGGTTGTTGCTGTTACTGCTGGTATTTTTCGTGTTGCTGTTGCTATTGTCATGTATATTATTATATATTTTTCAATAATAATATTATTATTATTATTATTATTATGAATATCATTTTTTCGCCTTTCATCACCATCGTTATCGCCTTTCTCCATTGTTATATATTTTAGTTATTTTTATTTTCTGCTTTAACAAGCATCTTTCTTTTAACTTTCGTCGGCTTGGCTTCTCCCTCTCTGTTCAACATCGCTTCATCATCTCCTTCACCATCATGTATTTTTAATCGCATTTTTTTTAGCAGTCGTTATTTTTTAAATAGTGAGTAATGCATATAATAATAATAATAATAATAATAATAATGATAATATAGTAATTGTTAGTATCATTCTCATCCTCATAGTCATTTTTCTCTGTATTATGTTTAATAATAATAATAATAATAGTAAGAGATTTGTACATTATTTCATAGGTTGTTGTTGTTGTTGTTGTTGTTGCTGTTGTTGGTTTGCCAGCCTTCTCCGGGCTTTTCGCGTAGTTCGACGAAGTTCTATTACCATTACGTCATCAACATTCTGTTATTACGGCTCATCAAAATCGTCATCATCAAATATTACTAGTACACATAATAATTATCATGTTTATTATAGTTATCGCATTATTTGTCTTCCTTCCCCGTTCTTCCGTTTCAGCATGATCGTTATGCACTTCGTTCCTCTTTTTCACGATTAGTGTTTTTTTTTTTTCGATAATATCATTATTAATTGATAATTATTATCGCTATTATGATTAGCAGTTTATCTTGCATTCGCTCGCGCTTTCGGTTCTCCTTTTTCTCGATCAATCTGTTTCTCTTGAGTCATTTTGCGGTCAAAATGTCACACGAACGTCGAACTGTGACGTCAATCAGTAAGCGATGCAACAACGGCAAACGCGCGTGTATTATCAGTGTTACAGTAACTCTTCACCGCTTATGTGCAATACTTTCGAATCATTACGCCCCCCTGGCCACATACAAAATGGAAACTATCGTAACCCTAATAACAATTTTATCAAATGCCAATGCAATATTTATCTAGTACGTCAGACCAATCATCGCTTATAGTTACAGTTTGCAGTAGGAACAATACAAATTACCGTAACAACAACAACAATGTTCACCGCGATCCTCGATCTGTTTGTATTATCGTCGACGTCTTCGTTGTAACCGTTGTTTTTTCGTCGTTGTTATTATTTACTGTCCTCGTTGGTTACTCTGTTTTTCTTCTCGTCAAACTGATCGTGACTATTTTTTATTGCTGAGATTAACTGAGGGGACAATCCAGCCTAAATTACCATTCAAAGCACCTAATAAAATGGCTCGCATTATCGGTCCTTTTTTTATGGTTTTGTACCTTTCTTTTTGTTTCCTAGTGTGCTCCATTTTGCTCTTGTGTTGTTACTTCTCGTTAGCATCTGTGACATGCGGTAATAGTAACAATGATAGGAGTAATCATAAAATCCATCGGAGTAGCACGATTAGACGGAAGCTAAATAAAAAAAAAAGCGATTTATAGCCACCAAAATGCTACGGCAATGATAGATTCTCTTCTGCTCGGGGCGGCAATCCTTGCAGATAATCTGGACCAGCCTGTTTTATATTTATATATGTTTCGCATTGTTTATTTTATGTATTCTTGTACCCTAGTCACAGTTCTTAGCATAATTAGGGTAGCATATTTGTATCATGTACCCTTTGTAACTCTATTAATTATCTTTATCTATTTTAGTAACGAATTTAGTATTTTAGCAGTAGAATTATGCAATACAGTTCTATTTTATGATAGGTAAGAAAAATAACCGTACGTTAAACATTTCTCGCCAGCTTTCTTTCCGTTACGCTTCATCGTTTCTGTCTTCTGTTCGTTCTGCCTTTTCTACTTCAGAGCTTCGCTAGTGAGTACACAATAATCGCCTTTTGCTGCCATATTGTAGTCGGCCTTCAGTCGCCGATTAGGCCATGTATATTGTGTACCGTGTTACATGTAAAACGGTGCGCGTATGTGTTACCTGGAAATGATTTGTATCGTTAAGCTTTGCCTGTCACTTTTTCTGTTTGTTTCATCGTTCAGTTGTCGTAACTGGCGTGTACAAGTCCTAGTTCAGCTAGTGTAGTCGATCGCCCTACATCGAACTGCGTTGACACCCAATACCAAACCGTGTTCTGTTCAGCAAAAGCGATCTTAAAAAAGTAACTATTTACGAAGAATTTCGACGACTAAACATCCTTTAATGAAATTTTATCACAATGACGATCTTGCAAACAGCAAAGATCCGTGTCCTTGAACGATATCTGAATTTGTTATATAATAGTCCTAAACAGAAGAAGGCACATTCGAGAAATTAGACGCGAACCCATCATTATTTTGCTATTCCACGAACAAAGAAAGGAAGTGCTACAAAAAATACAGGCAATGAAATTTCCTAGAGACAGACCAACGGTGTTTCCACCAGGTTGTTCACAAAGGTCCGACCTTAAACTTGATATATGGAGTTCATTTTTGTTCATAGTCTCTTCACTTAGCTCGTGAAGTGTCTGAAGGTCTGTGGGCAAATTTGGTATTCGTTTGTATATATTTGTTCATTAGCTGACTTGGACCGCGTATTGTTTCAAATACTTGTTATTGAGAGATGTGCCGCTATCGAGTGCTGCCAGCAGAACACGTAATTTAGAAAAATGGAAAACTGCACATGTGTACATATGTCATGGGCCGGAGGCAAATGTACTTCTTCTCTATTGAAGTACTATTACGTGGAAAGAATTTATGTTGGTCGTGAAATTATCCTATTTCCTGTTTGAGGGACCCTCTCGTGGGCATACCACATTTTTGCTTAGCTCGTTAGCATTGGTGGGCATTGACTTTTGAACTGATTGTCCGAATGAGTGTCCTGTAATACAACACACAATATTTTAACTATACGAGGATATTTCCATTCATTGCAAATGTCCTAGCTGGAGACATATACACTCATAGAATTCGTTTCGTGTCTGTATGTGTTCGTCTGTCTGTTGTCGATTGATTCAATATAAATATCGCCTGCTTTATGTTAACTCGCTAATGGTAAAATATAGAAAAAATCTGCGGCATTGCATATCGTTCAGAGAGTGCCGCGTCATATTTTATGACCTTTCGTCCATTCCTCAATTAGTTATTTATTATCAAGTAATGTTATCATAATCATTAATACTATGTTCGTTTATGACATTAGTTTACTCATAATTAATTCTATAGTACTGCATTATCATCATCATCATCATCACCACCATCATCATCA